TTATCCAGGCCTCCTCAGCACCCACTGCAGAACTGGCCCATAGAGGGTTCTCCATATGAGTGCTATAACAGTTAGAGAATCACACAGCACAGGCTGTACCCAGAAGTGAGAGCATTCACACTGGGAGAGGAACATAGGCTCTTCAGAAAGATCTGGATTTGAACCTTGGCTCTGCCTTTTACTTGCTAGGTGACACTGGCAAAACTCCTTACCTCCCTATGCATTAGTTTCCTTGTCTGTAAAAAAGGCATGATGCAAAATAGACTGACAATGAAATAATATATGTAAAGTGCCCCGCACAGTGCTAAACACATTGTAAGTGCTCAATAAATGTCAACATGTTGCCAAATTCTGTTTTTTAAACTCTTTTAGTTAAAAGAATTTCCTACTACTTGTTGGGATGAGCACTGGGTGTTGTATGTAAGCAATGAACCATGGGAATCTACCCCAAAAACCAAGAGCATACTTTACACACTGTGTGTTAGCTAATTGACAATAAATTATATTTTTAAAAGTAAATAAATAAATAATAAAAGAATTTCCTACGAAGTCTGTGTGATAAGCGTTGGTCTAATACTGGTCCATATTACTAATAGAGACTTTATAATTTCCATGATTTAAAACAGATAAGAAAAATTTCTGCCTGTTCAATTCCAAATCATTTCTTGATTCTGAAAGAATTAAGAAGAAAATGTCAGGCTCATTCCTGCCTCAGACCATTTGCACTTGCTGATCCCTCCTCAGCCAGAACACCCCCTGTCCCCATCAGAGCTTTACAAGGCCAGCTCCTTCTCATTTAGGTCTTAGATCAAATGTCACCTGCTCTGAAAGCCTTCTTAAACACCCATGGAGAGTGATCCCCCTCCCCTCTATCCTCTGTATTATTATCTTCATAGCATTTATAACTTATGAAATTATTTTTCTTTACTTTTTTATTGTCCATGTCCCATTGGAATGTGAACCTCATAAGAGCAAGCTCCTCACCCATTATGTTCTCACTGCTTCATCCCAAGTTCAGAGTGGTATCTCAATAAATATTGCTTGAATTAATTTTTCTCATTTGCTGCAGAGGAAAGTTACCGCTAATGAAAGTTGAATTAAACCTTCCCAGTTTTCTCAAGAACTCAGTAATAAAATTCTTCCCAGTTTGCCAGTTGCTTAGATTGTGTCTTCTATAAATTTCAGCAAGTTTTAAGAATAATCAAATACAAAAATATATATTTTGGCAAGTATATTCCTTAAATAATTCATACTTTATGAGAGGACAAATGGCTATGAAAGAAAAATAGAAATCCACATCGTCATTATTTTTTCTTTAGGTATAAAGGGCTTTGTGAATTACTGTGGAGCTTAAGGAATCTGTTCCTCAGAGAATATAATCACTGTTTTTTGCCATCTTGCTAGAATTGATCACAGATGGTACAAAGGTCACCTGCAGCAAACTGTCCCCAAGGTTCTTAAATGCCAAATGAATGAGACTTTTCTATGCAAACATGATCATGGTAAAAAAAAAAAAAAAAAAAAAAACGTGTTTCATTGGTCAGAAGTGATTATGTTTTTTGATGTAACTTAGGACTTTAAAATTTATTTTTAAGTGATGTTGGAAAAGCAACAATTTGCTGGAAAAACAGGCAAAGAATGCAGATATTCTCAGACGAAGAAATCCAAATGGCCACTGACATCGGACAGCATACTCAGTTTTACTAATAATCTAAGAAAAACAAGTTAAATTTGGTAGAAGTAGACTTTTATGACATTTCAAACATATAGGCTATGTGCACAAAAAAAGGATATTCACTGCAGCATTGTTTGTCATTAAAAAATTAGGAACAACTTTATTAAATGTTCACCAACAGTGGTATGGTTAATAAATACTGGTATCTTGAACAAATACAGATGAGGAAGCTTTAAAAGTAATAAACTGAACTCCTCTATTAGCATGGAAGGATGCTCATGATCTATGCCATCTTTAGAAGCAACCCAGAACTATTCAAATTGTACTGATATGCTTTTTAAAAATATTTTTTTCATACATAAGCCTATAGCTGCCAAAGTTATCCTTTTAAGACATAAGTCAGAAACCCTGTTACTCCTCTGGCTTAAAACGTTTCACTGGCTTTGTTTCTCACTCAGATTCAGAGTCGGAATCCTCACCCAGATTTCCATCCGCACCTGGTCAGGCCCTTGGCTACTGCTCTGATGTCCTCCCTTTACCTTCCCTCCCACGCTATCTTCCTGGCCTGCTTTCCCTTACCTTGGGATGTCGGTGCTTGCTGTCTCCCAGATATCCCCATAGCTTGCTTCCTCCATCTCTCACATCTCTGTCCAAATGACACTTTGCAACAACCACAGTCCCTGACCACCGTCTACATTTGGGGAGAGTATGTTCCTCCTCAGTCCTCCCCTACCCCTCCCACTTTCTATTCCACTTCCCTCCTTGCCCTTCATACCCTTATCACCACCTGGTAAACCATAATTTCCTTCTTTATTGGTTTGTGGTCTGTCTCCCTCCTCCAGAACTGTAAATGCTAGGAAGGCTAAGGTTTTTGCCTTTTTGTGTCATTACTCGATTCTCAGCTCCTATCATAGTATCTGGTACGCAGTAGGTACTCAATAAATATTTATTGAATAAATAATATCTCATTTTTATATGTACATAAAAACAGATATAGAAAAATACATAGCAACCTATTGACAGGGATTCTCTCCCAAGGGTAGGATTAGGAGAGCTTTTATCCTTACTGTATACATTTCTGTACCACTTGAAACATACACTACTTTGGTAATGGAAAACTAAATAAAAAATATTTTAATGGAAAAATGTAATGGTTCAAAATGCTTTTGGGGGCCCCTTTCTGCTGACACTGAAAATAATTGCCAAAAAGAACTATCCTAGGTATGTCTCCACCGTATATACCATCCAGAGTTCAGAAAATACCAGTAAGCTTGGGCTTTACGAAGTTCTAAGACTGGCAAATAGTCCAGGAGTATAAGGAGCATAAGACAAGCTTTCCTCTCCTCGCTCACTCACTCCTGCCCCTTTGCCCATACCATGTGTCTTCCGGGTAAACAGCCTTTCTAATTAGCATATGCAACCCCTCCTTAGATGCACTTTCTCCCTTCCGCAGGAGGAAGAAATTTCACTGATAATTCTTTGCGCTGTTTTCTCTATATGGTAAAATCTTCAACACTGCTGTCAGGGTGAACCTGATTTGGTTCCATGTGGGCCACAAAATTCGTCCATTGCTAGAGGGAGCTCTTGAGACAAGACACATTGCTTCTCAACAACAAATCCAATCTAACTTAGCATGACAAGCATCTCAGGACGCATTCACACACACAACAGCGACATAAACCCCGTACCAAGTGTCTTTCACAAGTTGTCATGGTCATGAGGCCTCTGTTAAGTAACTCCTGGTCCTTGTTCTTGGGCCTTTTCCCCGAGGAACACAGCCATGGTAATATTGGTAATACTCTAGTTTTGCCTGATTTCTTCACTGGCCACAAAGTCTCCCTGGCAAGCTTGCAAGGCCTCTCCCTACCAGAAGAGCAAATGGAGAAATGGGAGGCAATTTAGCTCTGAGAGGCCAGCAGGAAGACTGGCCTGCCTGTTACTGACAGTTTCTGCAACTCACTCCGTAAAGTAGGGCAGCAACAGCCAACACCCATCACCATTTTGGTATGGAAACGAACTCCTAGAATTTTAAATGAGAACAAACCAACCAGCTGGGTTGTTTCTTAGTTGTTGTTTTCTTTTTAAAAGAGTTAGCTGGAATAAAACTCAAGACTATTTGAGAACTAGCCCCTGGCGGACAATTACACTTGATTTTACCCTTGATTTTTGCTTTGTTTTGACAAAGCAACATATTTGGGGTTATTGCCAACACTCTCCTGAATGAATGCCCTGGGCTTAGCTTCGCTTCTTGAAAAATACTGGCTTATTACTCCTTGGCTCAAGACTTACTTCTAGGGCCTTATGATTCTAGTGGCGCCTGAGAAAGGACAGCAATTTATTCTGGAGGGGTCTGGTTATCAAAACGCACCTTACTTGGGACCAGAGCACAGGCTTTAGAGTCAAACCATCAACGTGATCTAGAGCCAAAGAACCTGGTCCTCTGAGCTCCAGGTTGTTTCTCTGTTCAGTGGAGATAATAAGACCTACCTTGTAAGATGACTGTTTGGGTTAAAGGAGATACTATAGATACCATGCTTAACGTAAATCATTACCATGACTATTATAATGTGAGACTATAAAGTGATTACCTATAAAGCTAGACTTTCCAGAACAGCTCTTCTCCACAAACAAATCTCAAGACCGACCACCCTAAAACTTCTTGCCCAGCTTCCTCTTGCCTAGAACTTCATCAGAGAAATAAAATTGGTGTTGTTTAAATGCCGGGTCTCAAACTTAATTCTGAAACACACACACAGATGCACCCATATATGGAACTGACACTACTAGGAGCCTTGAGCTGAAGCACAGGGATCTCATTAGGCTGCCTCATGGCCTCCAGCCTTGCCTCTGTGCACAACTGTGGACAGGAGATTGTTCATTGCCAACGTCGGTTGAGCCAGAGGGAGACAACAATGGGGAACTGACGGTGGAGCGTGCAGAAGGCTTATGGGTGCCTTACACCTACAGTCCTGCTCCTTGCCTGGGACCACAGTGCTCTGAAGATCACCATCACTCAGACCATTTAAGGTCAGTGTCAGTATGCTCTCTTGTCATCAACCCTACCTCTTCCTTTTCATTCCTCAATTCAGCAAACATTTATTAAGTGTCCACCACAAACCAGACACTGTGCCAGGTGCTGAGGAGCTCCTAGTCCAGCAGACACAACAGACACCAACACATAGATCCCAAATAAGAGTGGTGTCCAGGGTGTTCTCTGGAGTGAGCCCAGAGAGGGAAAAGAGGCCACACTTTTGGTTGCCCTTACTCTTTATGGAGGTCGAAACAATTCCGTTAGTAAGAATGTCCTGGCCAGCAGGTCACTCACCACATTGGTTTCCTATGTGGCCCTGGCCCACTCCACAGGACTCTACTCGGTGTTCAGATGTTCTGGGAGATTTTTTTGCCACTTCAAGGTCCATGCCTGAGAGCTGGAGGTGGAACTGCTCCCTGTGGACAGCCTTCCGGAGTGTTCGGATGGCTTTCCGGAGCCGCTTCTCAGCTCGCTTTACGATGCAGCTCAGGTCACAGGAAGCTAGGGGAATGAGAGGGACAGCAGTCGGCGGGGGCGGGGGTGGGGGGTGGGGGGGGGGAGGTCAGGCTGCAGCATGTGAAGATGTCCAGACACCCACCACTGCAGGCCCCACCAGCACCCGCTGTTCCCTGTGGACAGGGTGGTGGGGAAACCTGGGGCTGGGCACCTAGCAGGCTGGGCAGCATTTGATTCAAACAGAAATTTGTTGACCAAAATGGAAGCTTTGAGTTTTTATGAAGAAGATTAGATCATGAGGATCCAAACCAATTCAGTCCAGTTTGGGAGTGAAAAAAACCCAAAAACCAAAAAACAGGAGATACTTCAATGGTTGCAGTAGTTTCCCCCACCCAAGAATGAAGAAAAGTGAAAGGCAAACAAGTGAGGAGCAAGCTGTGAGCAGCCTGACACCAAAGACTGTGTTCAAACCAACCTGTCACCTCCTTTTGGTTAGTTTCAAGTTCAAACTCAACAGTGATAAACATTTCCTTAGTGGCGCTTGGTCGGCCAGGGGCTCCTGGGACTTGCTTGCCAGAGCTGCATGTAAGATTTGCGTAGCGGAAGCTCTCTTTTACTGAGCTGTGCTTCTCTGTATGAAGAAACAAAATTATCGGAAGCCAGATCCTGGCAAAGCACTCAGTTGAACATTCGCTAGAGCTCAGTAAACATTTCATTAAAACAACTCTCAAGGGACTAAATGATTAACTCCAGATGCCAAGACGTTGCAGCTTGGAGCACAATGACATTTTAAATTCAAAGAGCCAGTATTGCCTCCTCTATAACTTAACAATTTAGCTCTTGAAAATTATTTTCATGGATGAATGCTAAATGTTTCTGACTGACCAGCCACATATGTAGAAGACAGGACACCAGGGTCACCCTACATTCCTAACTGACCGTCTGCTGCGATGTGCTCGTGTTCTCACAGTTGGTTTCCTTAGAGCTGGACTGTGATGTACCAAGCAGGGGCTGAGGCTTCAAACAGGGAATGAAAACAAAAGTAGAAAGAAAACCAACTCCTGCTTCCAGACAAACTGACCTTGGAGTAATTCTAACTGGAAGGGGAAGCTAGAAAGCACACTAACAGTGCTGTCTCATTTTGAAATAACCAGGAGCAATATAAGGCACAAAGCATCGAGAGAACCAAACAATATCATGAAGGCATCTAGGGTGGGAGGGAAAGTGTTGTGTAAGGCAAGGCTCTGCACATTCCTATTCCGGTCTCTGGCTGTCTCTCCTCCTCCCCACCCTGTGGCTTCCAGGGGATATTTTAACTACTGCCTGTTAACCCAAACCACATTATCATCCACACAATTAATTTGTCTGATTTTTAAAAACTTTTTTTAATGTTTATATTTATTTTTGAGAGAGAGAGAGAGACAGAGCGCAAGTGGGAGAGGGGCAGAAAGAGAGGGAGACACGGAATCCAAAGCAGGCTCCAAGCTGTCAGCACAGAGCCCAACATGGGGCTCAAATTCACCAACCTGAGCTGAAGTTGGAGGCTTAACAGACTGAGTCACCCAGCTGCCCCTGATTTGTTTATATTTTAAACTGTTACTTTACTCAAATGATGTATCATCTGTATCATACTTTTCTTCACCATTACAAGGATGTTCAAAGCAACAGGTCATCAGGAGCCAAAGGAAGGAGGAGGCAGATTAATTCTCTCCCACACCTAAATTTCCCCTGAAAATCCATCTTAACTTTTCAAAAGGCTAACTTCAAATCAAACTAAACAGTCATTTTGAACATTTCTCTTTCAATTTTCCCAAATCTATATTTTAAACTTTTTATTTTGAAATAAGTTTAGATTTACAGAAAAATTGCTCAGGTAGAACTAAGGGTTCCTGTATACTCTTGGTTGTTTTCCCTAATGCATCTTACATTAATATGTATATTTATCAACACTGAGAAATTAACATAGTATAATACCATTAAGGAAACTAAAGACCAAGTCTCTTTTTAAATATTGCTTCTTCCCTCCGATCTAAAAGTATAAATGCTCACTGTAGAGAATTTGGAAAATGCAGAAAAAAAATTAAAATCTCCTGCATCTTCTCCCCCAGATATAACTACTACTGATGATAAGGTAGAGTTTCCTTTCTTTTGCTTCTACTCACACTTTTTCTTGCATAGTTTGGGTTGTTTAATATACAAAATGTTACTCTCGCCTTCTCCATCTTAGCATTATATTACGAGAACATTTTCCTATGTCATTAAACACTCTCTGAAAACATATAATTAATAGCTGCATAATATCCCATCAAAGGGGGGATTGCTGGGTGGCTCAGTCAGTTAAGCGACTAACTCTTGATTTCAGCTCAAGTCATGATCTCACAGTTCATGAGTTCGAGCCCCGCATTGGACTCTGTGCTGTCAGAGCCTGCTTGGGATTCTCTCTCTCCGTCTCTGTCTCTGTCCCTCCCCTGCTCATGTGCACACATGCAACACATGCACTCTCTTTCTCTCTCAAAATTAAAAAATAAACTTTAAAAAAATCCCATCAAATGGAGGTACCAAAATTAATCTCAGTTTATTAACATATACAGGCAAAAGTGACTACAGTGAGCTTTATGTTTATTTGTATGATTTATGAGAGAGGTAAACTAAGGAAAGAAGCATCCCTAATACATGAATCCTGATTTTTTTTTAATCTCTAAAATTATTCTATGAAATAATACTGGAAACGTGAGCTGGGGAAGGAGTGTTGCATTCTATTCTTCCCTAAAAGGCCAGTTCTACTTGGATGGTGTTTGTTTTGCTGAAGCCAATGGAGTCACAGCCTCCAAAGACTGGATCCAGCAGGAAAGCTGGATATTACATCTTTGTTCATCAAAGAGTATCCTGAGCCAAACCTTCTTCATTTCTTTGGCTTATATTCCAAGCGACTCCAAGATCTAGAAAATTTAACCCAATATGATCAAAAATGGCCAATGCATTGTAAAGTCCTTATTGATTCCTGTGAACTCATAGGTTTCCCTAGAGCTTTAACATCTGTGCCTGGCAAAGGAAACCCCAAAGTATAACTCCAGAGCTATACAGAGGTGCTAGGTTAGCTCCTCTGGCTCCTGCGGAGAGAGTCCTCACAGATTCTGGACTGTTCTATTCCATCTGAAGGGGTCGGCTTGTTACATACCCCTTTCCCAACATGCAGGCAAGCTCCCTGCACCAGCCATCTGATTCCATACCTGGTAGTGCTAGTGCTGGTCGCAGACCCTCAGGAAACCGCTCAGCCTTTTTCAAACTACACTTGCCTTCATTTAGTTTAAAGGTTACACTTGTCCTGACGGTGGCGACATCTTCAGAGAGAAACAAGTGAGAGATGTTATCTTCAGAGACAAAGGAATGGAAATACCTGGTGGGTAATGGTGAGCTACCCACAGGCTAGGTACCCATAGGCTGCACACCCTGGGCTCCTCTCTTACCCTGAAACCACAAAAGATTTGGATCATGGAGTGCCCATTACCCTGAGGCTAGGGACACCAGGAGCCTCATAAGAGTTACACTTATCCCTTCATCTGAAGTGAATGCAATGTTCAGATATAATAAAAAGAGAACCTAAAACAACCTCAATGCTGAGATGAACCGTGAGGTCACTTTTGTGCCTTCTCAAGAAAGAAGACCAGAATCCCCTAGCTCACATTTAAACAAGACTGCTGAGGGAAATGGTGAAGGGCAGATTCTCTAGATAAGCCTTTCCTAGGAGGACAAGTTTGAGAGAGCAGACAGGGATGGCACTTTGAGGGCCTCTTGTGCAAAATTCTGCTCTCCCCCAACCAATCAGTCTTAACCATATGTCAGGCTCTGGAGCCAAAGACCAGGATTCATGCTCTAGCTCTTTGACATGTGATGAGAACTTAAGCAAGTTACTAAAACTCCCTGAGCCTCAGTTTCCTCATCTGTAAAACAGACAAAACTGGGGTACCTAAGTTAGGGTACCTACATTACTATGAGGATTATATGAGATAATGCAAAAAAAAAGTTTATCCTACTGTCTGGCACAGAACTGAATGACTATTAACTATTTCCTTGCCCATCCTGGGGGTGGCCTAAATCTCCAAGTAACCATTGCTTAGGGATTTGGTGAAACAGACCATGGTACCTATTCTGACTGGGTCCAAATATTAGGCAAGAGAGACAGTGAAGGATACTGCCTAAGACTCTAGATCTAGACTTCTGGTTAAAATCCTGGCTCCACTATTTCCTATCTGAGTCACTTTGGGTACATTATTTTACCTCTCTGAACCTCAATTTCTTCATCTGGTTAATGAGGATAATAGTAAAATCGCACCAAGGGTTGCTATGTAGATTAAATCAGTTAATACACATAATACAGTGGCTGGTGTATTCTAACTACTTGGTAAATATATTTGAGTATTATCGTCATGCTTTGGGTCTCTAGCTCTGCTCACGTGTGTAATAGGGACATCATGAACCATTTGCTTATTCAGATATTCTGATGACATAATCATAGAGATATCTAAATCTGGGAGGACAGGCTACTTAAAAGCTTTAAATTCCATTCTTTGTCTTTTGACAAGCTAGAAAGGGCTCAGGGCTTTTTCTCTGGGGACAATCCTTGCACTCTGTCATGCCCATGTCTATCTTTACCAACTCCATGTGCTCCAGGCATACATTGCCTGCTGGGTCTTTGAGGTGCCCCGGGGTACAGGGAGTTTGGGAGACCCAAACCTGTAGATTCCAGAGTTCTGTGCGCCTCTGCCCAATATGACAACCCACCAGGGCTGAACACAGAGCATCCTAGCACCCACTGGACACTCTGTAAGCATCTGTTACACAGTGAGTCAGCTTTCAGGCACCAAGGCTGTGGGCAAGAACGTCCTGTAACGTGCTCACATCAATGAGGAGATTAAGAGAAAAGAAAATAAAGCCAACACCCAAAAACTGTACCTCAAGAATGAAGCGCATTTAACACAGTGAGCCCCAGAGAGAACATGCATGTTTGGTAATTACCCCCAAAAGCAGAGTCATTTGATTTTTGTTGTTTGCTCCTGAGAGAAGAGGAAGAGCCGCAGGTGACAGAGTAGGTCTCTTGCAGTCCTGACAGACAGAACGTGGGTTGTCAACACGAAAGCAAGGTTACAGTCTCTCCTGGTAGCAGCTAAAATCACTCCCCAACCCCCACTCCACATGGACCACTAGACAAATGCTCCACATATGGATTCTCAAAGCATGGGCCTCTGGTGGTCAGGGGGCAGCTGGTCAAACGCCTGGAAACCCTTTGAGGGCATTTAACACCTAAAGACCAGGAAGGCCTGGTTCTGGCATAAGGACCTGCCCCAGGGACTGGGACCCACTCACCTGAAGAAAGGTGAATGCCAGAGTCACATCTTAGGAAGCATCTGTCTCCTCCACCACTCTTACCGCAATGCAGGGACACATGGGGTGACACACTAGTGGGCAGGACCCCCTTCACTTCTAGACAGGACAAAAAGCACACACTTACAGAAAGAGAAGGACACTTCCATGCGTGATATGGGTGGCTGAGTTCCAAATATTCAAGGCCCCAAGACAAGAAGGTGGAGCTGATACCCAGCATAGAACACAAGACACAGGGCACCATGTCCCTCAAGGTAAAGAAGCTACTTGTATGCTATTTTTTTCCATGCAGATAAACAACCAGGAAAACAGAAGTAAGTTCCAACCTACACAGAAGCACAGAAGGAAACAGCAAAGAGCCTGTAAAGTATCTCCTGTTTTTGAACTATTTAAAGAATGGCTGCTGCTCCTGAGGGGAGAAGAATCAGTGAAGGGATCATCAGGTGCACTCCGGGCCCAGTCACACATGGGAGAGAGCTGCCAGTGCCAGTGTGAGCCCACTGACTGTGAGCCTTGGTACCCCTTACCAACACAGTCTTTTCTATTCCAGTGGAGCTTGTATGCAGAGTGGCATCGGCATTCATAGCTGCCCACTGTGTTCACACAGACCTGCTGACAGCCTCCATTGTTGACACTGCACTCGTTGGTGTCTGTGGAACAAAACACTCTCCTGTCACAGCAGCCCATGGATGACTAGGCTGGCGCTGTCCCTCCCTTGAGGAAGTCACATGGTTGAAACTCATTAAACAAAGGGAAGGTATTAACTGCCTTCAGGATGTGCACCTGGCACCAGCAGACCTCACTTCCCACTCAGTGGATTTCCTGGCATAGGCCTCACCAGGATGGTCTCACGTTCTGTTCTTGACCACACATTTTCCCCATTCAGGATATTCAGAAGGGGGCACACTCTACTTTCAGATGCCCAAGCTCAAGCACTGCACAGCCCATCCTCCTGGGCTACAAACCAAGGGAGATAGAATTAGAATTCTACACTTGACAGTTCCTATTCAGTAGGTGGAATATAGAGAAGGAAAATGACTGGCACTAATTCTCATCAACCTGAGACTTAGTCTAGGTTGGAAGGTGGTCCATCAAAAAACCCAGACACACATCCATGTCAACAGAATATTTTCTTGGGGTTTCTTGATGGGCTGGAAGAGAATGTTTTTAGCCATGCCAAGGATGTACTGAAAGAAGAGAGACAATACTATCTATACCAAATCACTACTCTCCATTCTTCTGAAGTGTAGAACACAAGGATTGGGCGGGAAGTATTTAGGCCAGTGGTTCCCAAATATTCGGATACTCAGTGATGTCTTATAAGCCCAACCCATTCAGAATTGTTGGGGGGAGTGGGGTAGAAGTCATTTGATGTCAAATCTTATTTATACCATAGTCTACATGAGCAGAAGGACAAATGACATCAGAACATGTTGTTACATGGGCACAGCACAGAGAGATCAAATCAATGGTCCCACTTCCAGCTCAAAGGCCTGTCCAAAAACCAGCTCAAAGTTTAAAAAAGGCTTCCCAGTTAGTTCCTATGCACAGCAAGGCTGTGGAATTAGTTAGTGCCCTGCAAAGCCTCTCTGAGGACTGTGACTTTCCTAGCTACTGGGAAGGTCTAATAGACAGGATATCAGCTCCAGAGAGACCCTCCCACTGAACACAACTACGGCAATAAAGTCAACAAAAAATTCACAGTTGATTAGCTCAGTTCTTCTCTCTGCTCCATTTCACACTCAACATGTTAAAGGGATCAATGATTTCCCTTAGCAGGTGTTTCCCTTGAGTTGATGAAGTCACTACTACTCTACAGGGACTAAAACATCCCATTCATTCCCCAATATAGGAAAATGGACCCTTATCTGGGGAAACCTTGGGAGCTAGGCCCTGTTCCCCTGTAGGCCCAGCTTCACCTGACTCTAGAAGGGCATTCTGCTCACCTCCACAGTGGGTAAAGCCATAGAGGGTGTACCCTCTGTTGCAAGCACATGTGAATGTGCCAGGGTGGTTGATGCAGCTGTGGTCACAGGTCCTATCCAAAGAGCATTCATCCACATCTGTAATTGTCAAAGGGAGAGAGGAGCTGAAACAAACTCTGAGGGATGAGTAGAAAGAACATTTATAATTCACTGACTGACAACAAAAACAACATAAACAGAATTTTAAGAGTATCAGTTCTCTTGCTCACTTGTGTTCAGACAATGTTGGGCAGCCTACAATAAGTATACTCACAACCAGAATCCTTATTTACAAATTCTGTTGCAAACTGCACTTGTCTTTAAGCTCAGTCGGTCTTTCTCATGTGCCTATTTATAGAGCTGAGTAATTTAAAATATTTCAATGAAGCTAAATGAGATAACATACCTTAAAAGGGTTTATAAACTACAAGGTGCAACCCACGCATTATTACTGTTATATTACTATTGGTAAAACAGCAGTACTCATTATATAAGCTCCAACAAATTGAAAGGAGAAAACAGCTGGTTTGCAGATAAATCTGGTTCCTATCTTCCCAGAATTAGTCTTCTGGCCCCAGGAGGCCAATTGATCCTGGGTTTTAATGTCCTCTGCACTAAAAGAATGCATGAACACAAACATCCTCAGTGAGTTTCTATCACAGACCCGAAAATTTGGTGTTTAAGCTCCGAACTGGATCCTCTTGGCCAATCCCTTGGCTTTGTTCTTCTGCCATGGTTCAGCCCCACAGAGCCCCTCCTGTCCTGGTTCAATGTGGAGGCATCGTTGGCTTCAGCTGAGGTCCTGGAAACTAGCCTCGGGAGGCTGCCTTTGTCGATCTAATCATCTCTTCTTCCCTGGTCTGGTCCTCACATCTTTCCTGTAGACTAGAATTTCAGTGCTTCATTTCTTCAACTCTTTGGAGGGTTGTTTTTTTGTTGTTTTTTTTTTAAACAGAGTTATGACTTGTGTTTCCAAATGGATAAACCAGGACCAGTGCAGAACTCAGTGGAAGCCAATTAGCCCAGAGCTAAATCTCTTTTTCAACACTAAATGTGCCACAAGAAACTATGTTAATAAAAAGCAAACATTTGGAAGGAACTGGAGGAATGAAAAAACGGAATTAAAAAGGGCAAATTCTTACAAAATCTCTTCATCACTTGCTTTTCCCAGAAATCCTGGCAATTTCCTCAGTAAATTTTTCTGTGAAAATATTTGTTCTGATCAGTGAAAAATAAGAAAAAGTCCATTTCTTCCCTAGTAAGTGATGTCGCTCTATAAATTCTGTGATTAATATCAGTGAGTTGTTGGGAACATGGACTTGTTCAGTAGCTGACTTTGGCTGTGCATGATGGGTTGTTGCTTTGCCAAAAATAATGAGATCACTTTTCTAATTCCTTTTTAATGTGTTTACACAGCTTAAACAGCATTTCTTGCTCTATACATTAGGGAACAGTATGTGCAACATCAAGTTTGCTTTCCAAGTCAAATAGAAGAGAGCCGTGCAACAGTCATCTAGAAAGAGTTTGCTGAATTTAAAGGGGGCTATACTTGAACTGCTTGACAAATTATGTATTAGGTGGGGGGAAAAAAAACAAGAGAAAAACCTAATTCACACTATAAGGTTAAAAGAAAGTAATGTTACATTTTTATTACCTAAAGTGAAATCAGATATTATATTCCGATTTTTATTTAATTCTGCGATTTCTAACAAAATAAGTTAGGCTGTTCTTATTCCCAGAAATGCAACAAGAATATATGGCAGCACTTCTTTCATGAGAGCTGCTTCCTATATATCCATAGGCACAAAAGGTGCTCATCTGAAACTATACATGATTCTCCTCATCCAACAAGGCTTACTCCCACCCATAAGTGTTATTAATATCAACAACTACTCCCCAAAGATACTCCCTTAACACACCTCTTGTGTGGGAGGAATGCATCTAAGAGGGAGTCTGCAATCCTGCCTGAGGACCCACTAGTCTTGCCTCCACTCAATCCCTCTTCCCTCTCCACTGTCCCTCTCCCCAAGCACCAAAGGCTGGTCATTAAAACAAGGGCTATAAGGAAGAGATCAACTGGTACATGACTTTGATTATGGCTTGACCCCAACTTTTTGCGAGGAAAAGGTAAGGTATGTTAACTGAATCTACATATTTTTGCCACCAAGTTTTATTACAAAATCCTCACAATTAAAAGAAATTTTAGAAAAGAAAAATTCTTTATAATCTCAACACCCTAATACAACCCTGTTTACACTCTGTGATCCATTCCATTTCTAGCAGTGAGCTCTGCTGTAATCACACCAGATGGATTCTTTAAGGTGTTCTCTAACCATTAACAGCTTAATTTCCAAATATACTTGTGAGCTACATCGGTGTTACTCTACCAACAGATGAAATAAGTGAAGCAGGGGCTGGAAGTTGGATTAATGACTCCATCAAAAAGCCCACTGAGCCAGTCTCTGCCAGAGTGGGGTGTCGTCTTCTCTGCTCCAACCAGCGGGCATTCACAGCACAGCTATGTTTCAGCACATACCTTGGCAAGACTTCTCATCTGTTAATAATTTAAATCCCTTTCTGCAGCTGCAGTCAAAACTGCCCACGGTGTTTTTGCAGAAATGATCGCAACCTCCATTGCGGGTCTGGCACTCATCAATATCTGTAACAGGCAAGCATCGGCAAATCAGAGAGCGATACTTGCCTGGTTTTCCACAAATCCCTGAAGTGCTATTGTGTGAGTGCTTCATTACTCTCTGAAACAAAAACAGACCCATAAAAGCATTTAAGGATGTTTGCTGATGTTTTTAATCTTACACATGTTTTCTAGTCTGGTTTAACTGATTTGGAAAGACAAGTGTCTCGTCCCCTTGAGAACTCTGACTTGTGCTACCTTGGACTAGCATTAAGGACACAAATTATGGGAAAGAATGGTGATGTCCTGTTACAGTCTCATCTTTGCCCTGCTCTCCAAGATAAGATGGCTCCCTTGGGTATATTTTCCATTCCGGTTTAATGCTTCAAGCTATAAGAAATTAGAACATTTGCTTTGTCAAATTACACAACAATCAAGTAGCCTCAATGCTTTTGTGTAATGATTCCTGATACTCAAATTAATCCTATCTTTTCTCGGTTTCAGTAGATAACTGGTTATCTACTTTTCATCATATTATAGAACTAAGCCTTTGTACTCTTGCCCATGAAATACCAGCAGGTCACTGAGGTATCTGTTCATTAGTAAAAATTAATTGTACAGTTATTCATTAAGTTCTCAGGATAATAACCTTGGCCGTTATTTATATAATTGTCTCTAGGCTGTTACATATGATATGTTGATATTATCACCTGCAAATGAATGTTTTCTAGAACTTCTGCCTTTTCTAATAAGGCCACTGCCTCAAATGGGTTATCTGATGCTTGCACAAGCTGACCTTCTCAATAGTTAGTGTAATTAAGTTGGTTCTAATTAAGCTCACTCAATTATAACCTTCCACCAGCCCAGGGAAGAAAAGCCTCTATCACTATGAATTGGAAGCAAATCTAGAATCACTCAGGAGATATGGAGGGGAAGAGCTTCCTTAATCCCCACTCATTAGCAGCATGGAGAGGCACAGGCTACCTTTACAAGTCTTCCCATCCAACTGGAGGGTGAATCCAACAGGACAACTGCAATGAACACCTGTTGAAGTATCCTTACAGGTGCGATCGCAGCCTCCATTGTTGACAGCACACGTTTCTGACAAGGAGGTAAGAAAAAGACAGTTAGCTTGCTAAAGAAGTGCTGATACAGCTGAGAGGAAAGGGTATTGCTGCAGTATTAGTAACTGGCAAAGTTCATGAAAGCCAAGAAGCATGGTAGAGTACTCACAGTTCTATCCCAAGTCGCTACCACCTGCAAGTGAGCTAAAGGGAGAGCAGGTGCAGCTCCTCTCCCCCATCTAACTAAGCGACATCTCCAAAGAAGCTTGATCGAAGGCTAACAATGTCTCTCCAACCTGACGAGCTTTCCCAACCCCACACTGGCAGATTTGAAGCTACTAAAATTTCCTATTGATCCAGAACCAGTGACCTGCTAAGTGTGGCTACATCTGGCAAGCTAGATGTGAATGCAGGACAGGGAAAGGAGGGATGTCCCTTCCTTAATCCTGAACCCTCTCCCTTCAATATAAGTTATAGGTGAAGCAAGAGAGGGCAAGCTTCCACTACCCCAACTATTCCCTTGCTGCAGACCAATAACTTCATCCCTGCAACTGCCAATTAACTCATATTAGAAGTTTACCTTTCACTGAAAGGAGAAAGACCTGTCAGAAGTACATGAAAAATCAGGCAGAGTTGTTAAGTTGCATCTAAAGAGATGAACAACAAGCCAATGTCCTTCTAGTTTTACTTCTTTTACTTCCATAGCTACCTCATTGTAGAGCCTCAGGAGGAAAAGCTTAGTTCTAACTAAATATGACAGAATAAGTATATCTCTGTTTCCTCTCAAAACCTAACATGAGAGTAAATAGATTTTTTTAAATTTTTTAATGTTTTTTATTTATTTCTAGGAGAGAGAGAGAGAGAGAGAGAGAGACAGCGTGAGCAGGGGAGGGTCAGAGAGAGAGGGAGTCACAGACTCTGAAACAGGCTCCAGGCTCTGAGCTGGCAGTCAGCACAGAGCCCGACGCGGGGCTCGAACCTACGAACCGCGAGATCATGACCAAAGAGAAAGTCGGACGCAAAACCGACTAAGCCACCCGGGCGCCCCGAGAGTAAATAGATTTTTTAAAGAATAAATCCTAGGGGCACTTGGGTGGCTCAGTTGGTTAAGCATCCAATTCTCAATATCAGCTTGAGTCATGATCTTGCGGTTGTGATCTCGCAATGGTGAGACTGAGCCCCGCAAAGAGCCCTGTGTTAGGCTCTGCATTGTCAGCATGGAGCCTGCTTGGGATTGTCTCTCTCCCTCCCCCTCCTGCTCCTTCTCCCTTTCAATGAATAAATAAACATTAAAAAATAATAAAGTATAAATCCTTACAAACTAGTGGAAAAGAGAATGGAGATTCCTCTAAAAGTTAAAAATAGAACTACTCTACAATCCAGTAACCACCCTACTGGATATTTACCCCAAAAATACAAAAACACTAACTCAAAGGGACACCTACACCCCTGTATTTCTAGCAGCATTATTTACAATAGCCAAATTATGGAAACAGACCAAGTGTCCACTGATTGATGAATGGAGAAAGAAAATGTTATACACACACACACACACACACACACACACACACAGAGGAATATTATTCAGCCATAAAAAAGAATTAAATCTTGCCATTTGCAACAACACAGATGGAGTTACAATACTCTATATTCAGAAGACACTTAAAATTTTTTCAATGCTAAGCTAAATAAGCCAGAGAAAGACAAATACCATATGATTTCACTTAGATGTGGAATTTAAGAAAGAAAACAAATAAAGGACAAAAAAGAGAGAGAGATAAACCAAGAAATAGATTCTTAACTATAGAGAACACACGGATAGTAACCAGAGGGGAGGTTGGTGAGGAGATGGTGAAACAGGTGATGGGGATTAAGGAGTGCATTTGTGATGCACACCAGGTGTTGTATGGAAGTGCTGAATCACTATATTGTACACCTGAAACTAATATAACACTATATGTTAACTATACTGAAATTAAATGTTTTGAAAAGTACAAATCCTTAAGGGCAAAGAAAATGGAAGCCAAGACAATAGAAATATCCTGGAAGTGGCATGTCAGTGGAGGGGCAGTAATGGGCACAGCAGAAAGCTAAACCCTAGTGGTCTGCAGAGGGGGTACCAACATGTGGTAAGTTCATGTGAGCTAGAGAATCCCAGTCCTGGGAACCAGAGATATTAAGTTACTCTAGAGGCAGAGGTGAGGAAGGAGTTTAAAAAATAGGAAGATTGATTGTAAGTCTGTAAAAGAAACAGATAAACCCTCAGGTCCCCTCTTAAGTTCTACAGCCAGGTGACTTCCCCTTCCCTATTTGGGCTCTAACAGAGAAATTGATCCTCTGTAGAAGTGGGACCAGAGAAGTACTGGGCACCAGGATACCAGGAATAGCAGAGAGGGAGGAAAAGATGCTGTCAGGTGAAAATCTATACCCTGAAAAGAGAGATCTCAAAGCCTCACCACCACCACCACTGCCACCCCAGCTCTAGGAACACTGACAGGCAAGTCTATGTCCGTTTAGCAGGAGACCAAACTGGCCTACCCACGTGAAAAGACGTATGGATATTAGTATTGGAGTCTCTCCAAAGGAAATGGCTAAGTCACTGCCTAGTCATCCAAGTATAAAGCCTACCAGCTGATAGAATATTCAAGTGGCTTTTCATATTTCACTATTAAATATGAAAAGTCAACCTAGAATCACCAGACAGTTAAGGAAGGCCTTTAATATGAAATAAATGCACCAAATCAAACAAACAGAAGAGGGAACGTGAAAGAAACAAAGCAAATACAGGAGGGGGAAATAAAAGTTTTTAAAAAATCTTATAATTAATTTCCTCAGAGAGATAAGAAAAGCATTCATGAAACATGAATACATACTTATAACCAAAGGCCAAAGTAATATTCTTGAAAAATTACAGTATGAAAACAAAAATTTAAAAAGAACCCTGTAGAGGAGTAGAAGAAAAAAATGAAAAATCTCCCAGAAATAGTAGAACAAAAATTTAAGAGCAGAGAAGAAAAATTAGAGGAGTTAAAACAGCCAACTAACACAAGTTCCAGAGAGAACAGAGAATATGGAATGAAGAAGATTATCAAAGAAAAAAATATAAGGAACTTTCTCAGAACTAAAGGACTCAAATGTTCATCTTAAAAAAGGCCAACTGAGTGTTCAACAAAACAGGTGGGGAAAGTCCCATCATGAGGGTCATTATTGTGAAATTTCAGGTCACCAGGGATAAGGAGAAGGCCCCGAAAACATCCAGAGAGAAGTTTTCATAGGTTACATTCAAAAGATCAAGAATGAAAATGACTTTAGACTTCTTAAAAAAACACTGAATGCTTGAAAACAATAGAGCACTCACTACTCACAATTAGGAATTCCGTACTGAGCTAAATTCTTAATAAAAGTATAGCAGAAAGGCATTCTCAGGCATGGAAGGTTTTTAAAAACCTATACCTACACGTGTAAACTAACAAGAGAGAAGACATGAGGTCTACTGACACAGAAGTATGGTGAAGGGCATTCCCAGGCTGTGCTAATGGGAAGGCCCAGATGACAGGTGCACAGCCAGCCTGAAGAATCAGGCCCCTCTAGAGCAGGGAAGCCTCATAAGACACTTTAAAAACAGTTTTTAATGTTTATTTATTTATTTTGAGGGGGGAAAGGACAGAGAGAGAGGGAGAGAGAGAATCCCAAGCAGGCTCCACTCTGTTAGCACAGAGCCTGACATGAGGCTTGATCTCACAAACCACGAGGTCATGACCTGAGCTGTAATCAAGAGTCAGAGGATTAACCAATTGAGCCACTCAGGCACTCCCAGAAGACACTCTTTAAGAAGAAAATGGAATTGATAAGACGATTTCTGTATTTGAACACATTGAAGGGTTTTAGAACTCTGCCTGAAATTTGCAAAAAGAACTGCTAAGAGGTACTTAGAAAACTAAGCAAACAGAGAAAATAATAATCATAGCACATTACATGGTTCAGGTGAAACCATATTTAGATATTCATCATCACAACAATGTAAATATATAATATTGATTTTAAATAGTGATAAAACCACATTAAGGGTATGGGAGAGGGAGTGTGTGCATTGGGGGAGGGGGCAGAAGAGAGCTCAAACTTAGGGTCTTCTAGAATAGGAGGTCAAAGTGAATGTCTAAAACCGACACATCAGGAAATAAGTGTATAATATCACAATATACGTAGGGAAAAGAAAAATACTATACACGCTTTTCAGAAATATGGCAGAGGGGGAGTCAGAAGAAACAACTAGGAGAAATGTAAATTGTTGCCTCTGTCAAATGGGATGAGGGGAAGGGAAGTTTTGAGGCAAGGAAGTGACATATTTCATTACAAACCAAATAACACTGATTAAAGTTTTTAAGGCTTTTTATATTATTCGTATGCAGTATTTTAATTTAATGCAATTAAAAGTAACTTTACTAGGGCAGAAAAGAGCTCAGAAATGTCACCTGCCTGATGCCCAATGGCTGCCCAATATATTACCTGTTAAATTTAGAAGCTATCAAAAAACTGGTTTTGTTTAGGTCAAGCCAAGCTTTCTCCAGAGGAGAAAGGATTGCCAGAGGATCTGATTGCCACCCACACAGCCACTGCCTCTACTTCTGTTCCCGTCTCCAGCTCTGCTGGCGGACCTGCTGGCAGACGTTCCTATATCCCGCAGCCAAGTGCCACTCTTCTCCATTCATCCCTTTTGCCATTAACATGGGCTGAAGTCAGAGAGAAGACGACTCGGCTGACAAAAACCCAGACAAATCGCCTTGCTAAGCTAGGGGCTGCCTGCCCAAAGTGCCTCCCTGGTCACAGTTACTCAGAAGGACAGGAACTGACATTCACTGACCACCCACTAAGTCCCAGGCATTGGACTCTGGCCACTTTTGCATATTATTATCGTAACTGAACTTCCTGATAACCCTAAGAGGTAGGTTTTATTATATACATTTCAAAGAAAGACCAGGAGACGGAGGCTCAGGGCGGTTTGCCTGAGGCTCACAGCCAGTTGCGGGCAGTGCTAGGACCCTAACCGGCTTGTTCTGATGGCTGGGTTGGGGTCCTTCCCACAATTCTAAGGTCCTTGCATGGTGACTAAGTAACAGCAGTGGGTGAAGAACAGACACAACCTGGCCTGACAGGAGCTGCTGACCCGGGCCCAGCTGGTCTGAGGTGTAGGGGCCCCAGGTTCAGGCCTGTTGTAGTAAGTTGGGGAGGGAAAGAGACAAAGACAGTGGCTAAGGGAGAGGGGGCAGTGCCTACCCATGAGCAGCCGCCGTTTCACCCGTTTATCACTGTCCACCACTGATGTGGCATTGCTCTCTGTCACCTCTGGGGCAGTGTCCTCTTGCTCTATAAGGGACGCAAAAGAGCACAGTTCTCAGACTGAATGCATCGGATTATTCATCCCCTGCGCAAGCTCTTCTGCTGAAACCCCAGACACGAGAACAATGCTAGATACGCCACTCTGTCCCCTCAATAAAAACATGTTGTAAAGAGGCTCTGTGGGAAACAGAGCAAGTGCAAAGGCCACAGAGCCTTAGTAAACATTAAATACGCAAAAGATTTTTGAAGCATAGTGCAGTGACCAAAGAGACATCAGGGAACATGAGCTTCAGATTCACTCCAGCACCCTCAGTCCAGGACAAAAAGAACCTGGGGCCTGGGAACCTCTCAAATGGAGCTAGCAAAAGATGTGCCATGAAGTACAGGATAGGCATCCTTACAGAAATAGGCAACACTGGCTTCTGCTGACCATGAGGGCCACTGTGTCGTCACAAATGGCTAGCTTTAACTTCACGTCACCCTGGCCCCTTAGGCTGTGTTGTCCCAGTCTCCAGAGTACCATCTTCAGGAGGCCCCCCTGGTCTAGGAGAAGAGAATGGGCTTTTCATGGTGGCACAGGGAGAGAGGGGACCCCCTACCAGGACTAGACTATTCCCACTGCCACATGTAAAGCAGCACAGAACCCATCTGGAGGCAAATGCTCTGGAAACACCCTGAAGCTGGTGCTAAACACATTAACAGCTAGGTTTAGGTTCAGCGTTAGGGGTGGGCAGGCTGGGGCAGACCCACACCAGGTGGAGGGGTCACTCACCGACGCAGCTCCTCCCATCTGTGTGCATCTTGTACTGTGGGTGGCAGCTGCACTCCGGGCCTTCAGCAGTGTCCTCGCAGGAGTGTTGGCACCCACCGTTCCCATGGTTACAGGTCACTGAGAGGAAACCCAAACAACACATTGAGCACTGAGTTTTCCACAACCAGGGCTGGGTTTGTTTCAGAAGATCTCTGTCATTCAGCAGGTATCTGAGCACCTAGTGTGTGCTAGGCACTGGGCATAAAAGAAGTAACCCTGACTCAGAGCCAGACGATGTCTATGTAAACAGACAGTCAAAGTATGAATTCAAGAAATGTTGGGTGGCTCAGTAGGTTAAGCGTCTGACTCTTGATTTCGGCTCAGGTCACCATCTCATGGTTTGTGAGTTTGAGCCCCACACTGGGCTCTGCACTGACAGTTCAGAGCCTGCTGGGGATTCTCTCTGCCCCTCCCCTGCTCACTCATGCTCTCTCCCGCTCGCTCTCTCAATAAATAAATAAACTTTAAAAACCTTAAAAAAATAAATCCTGAATGACAGATTTGAGCAGTTATACGGGAAGATGGGGATGGGAAGATAAGAGAGATTTTCACTATTCAAGGGGAATTATGCCAAAAGATTCTAGACTACTACATTGGTCTATCAGGAGAAGTTTGCATATTAATACAGTTGTACTGGGACTTTAGAAAATGTTCTAGCATTTTACTCTGGAAGAAACAGATAATACTTATTTGTACAAATATGTTAGAATTTCTCTCATCAGATTCCATCTAGATTAGTTACAAGGGCGAGAATATAGAGGAAATGATGACTACACACAATTAATGCAACATTAACCAACAATTACGAAGACCGTGTATGAACTCACTGATGATAAGCCCAAAAAAAAAAAAAAAAAAGGCCAACTCAAAATGATCTATTCATCAAACTGAACCATGGTTACCTCTGGCAAGAGAAATGGGAAGGGGAAGGTTATATGTTTTCTTCACACACTCAGGGCTGTTGAAATTCTTATATAAGCATTTGTAATGTTTCCAATGTGAAAGAACTAAATACGTATTTGTGACATAAGAAAGAAGCTGTTCTGCGGTCACAGTGGTGTAACAATTGCGTATGCGTGAGAACAACTAAATGGGAATATGGAAAGAGTGAAGGGACACAAGGGAAAAGCAAAAAACAAAAGAAATTTAACTGCTGGTTATGTGGTAGAATTCTATTGTTTTTCTTTTTGTTCTTTCCTCAAATGTGATTATAATATTATTTGAGGAAGTGACGTCTTAAAAATATTTTAAAATTTAAATTCCAGGTATTCTACTGGCCTGTGAAAAACTGAACTGCTGAAAAGTCTCACTCCACAGGGACCTGGGTCCTCCTTGTGAAGACAACCAGTGGAGCCACCTGACTCAGCCCGCTAGAAGCTCAAAGGGACAGTCTCTCTTTTAGGGGCCCTAAGAGCCTGTCAGAATCTATTTCTGGTGGTGGCACCAGCCCTGGTTTGGCAGGTTTCAGGGCTGCAGTCTGCTTTGTGATGGAGACAATGGAGAAAAGTCTCTCACCAGAGAAACTACCTCCTCATGTCTTAACCACTCAAGTCGACTCACTGTGAACAACCATTCCCCGCAAACTGCAGCAAAATTATCGAGGGTCCATGGTTTGGGAAGAGTTGCTAAAGGAAAACCGTCCGTGTTTCCTCTGGAATAGATAGTGGTTTAGGAACACCTTTTTAATGGACGGTTGTTTCCTATTACCAGTTGGAGTTTCATTATTGTGTTTCATCGTTGTGTGGCAGCTGTGTCTGGACTGTGTACACCATTCATTCATTCACAAATAAACGTGAGGTGAACACATCCTGTGGTAGGCACCAGGAGAAGACTAAGAGGCAAAAATAAGACAAGGTCCCTGCCTGGAGGGGCTCACAGCTGGGGAGACAGACACATAAATATACAATTCAAGCCAGGTGTCCTGTGCTGTAATTGAGGAATCAACAGTGCTGTGGGAGCCAAAGTACAAAATGGCTGCCTGGTCTTTTCCGGCCTCCGAGGAAGTTTAACAAAGTGCTAAAGAGCACCAGCCTTAGAGCTAAGGACCGACACCTGAATCCTAATTGGCCATGTGCTCCCTGTGTGACCTCGTTGCTTTACCTTCTCCACAATTTTCTCAACTAAAAATTAGGATAATAATACTTAGCTCATAGGGAGGTAATGTTAAGAATCCAATAGAATTGGTATCTCTTTGGACAAGCCTTTGCACATAGTAAACGTTCCCCCAAAGTAGCTATTATCTTCATCGTTATTAGACGTTAGGCAGAATATTGAAGATTGAGTGGGAATTCACCAAGCCAGGCAGGGAGGAGGGCTTGGAGAAGGCTTGGAGGCATGAAAGAACACGGGCTGTTCTCCCGCAGGCAAAGAGGTTGGTGTTTGGGAAAAGGAGGCGGGTGACGCTTGTACAAGAAGCAGGACCAGGCAGCAAAAGGCTGTGACCGCCAGATGACAACACTGGGTTTCATTCTGTGGGAACAGGGAGACTGGCCCCAACATTCACGGTCCTCACTCCCACATTTGTTTCCTTCTGATTGGTTCCCTTAAAAAGTATCATTTCCTTTCCCTATCAGAGACTACCCTTGTGCAGCGAACTTAGTCCTCAGTGGAGGTTAGTATCTTGAGATGGCTGCCTTTCCTGGCACAACTGCTCCGCCATGAGGAGGCAATTCTGATCCTGGGCTGCAGAAGACAGCCTCTGGGGCAGGGTAGTTCCCAGCACGGACGTGTGCCAGTCTGTACTTACGGATGCAGTCTCTCTGGTTCTTGGCCAGTTCAAAACCCGGCCTGCACTCGCAGGCGACACTGCCCCTCGGGGCCTCCTTGCAGATGTGACCACAGCCATGATTCTGATTCATGCAGCTCAGACCCTCTGCAAAACAGCAGCATGCAGCCAGTGAGCAGGCACAGTCCTGAGCCCCAGGGGCACAGCAAAGGGCTGGGGGTGGGGGTGAGGGACCTGCCTGCCTGGGTCTCCATCAGCCCCACATTTTAAAAGAACATGTCGTCCAAATCCAGTCAGGTCAATTAACAGAGATATAAAAAATTTCTTATGTCACCCAAGAGATACAATGTCTGAAGTCTCCTAAGGAGGTAGGAGCCCTCCTAATACACTGAAAAGAAAGCACAGGCGCTCTCTAGGGGGTGGGGAACCACAGCCTGCAGACCCCAGGAACTGCTACCTCGACTCTTACCTCTGCCAGATTGTCACCCATGCTGGCCAAGGATACAAAGAGGGGACAATCTCTCTAAGAAAACCTGCAGATAGAGGAAGATTCCCAACTTGTTCACATATTCTTTTTTTTTTATTTTTATTTATTTCTAGGAGAGAGAGAGACACACACACACGGCGTGAGCAGGGGAGGGTCAGAGAGAGAGGGAGTCACAGACTGAAACAGGCTCCAGGCTCTGAGCTGGCAGTCAGCACAGAGCCCGATGCGGGGCTCGAACCCACGAAACACGAGATCATGACCTAAGCGAAAGTCAGACGCTTAACCGACTAAGCCACCCAGGCACCCCTTGTTCACATATTCTTGAAGATGATTTTCTGAAAATGTCAACTTTCCTCTCTACCCTAACTAAATCCACACTTTGGAGGGGACTCTGACTACTGTCTTCTGGCATCAGCATGTGAACACCAGCCCAGAGGCCTCTCTTCTGTGGCCACTCTCACCTAGTCCCTGCGCCCTCCCTAAGCGGGCTTGGAGCACAGCAGCAACACAACAGAGAGAACAGAGAGAGATCTCACACATGTGGTTTTTTCCTTTGGCTGCTGTATAATCCTTCCCAGGTATACTATCACTTTCATTAGGTCCAATCTTGTGGTAACAGTGGTGGGAAGGGGATTCTTTTCCTGGCTGGTTTAACATGCATTTAAGTGATGCGGTCATAACATAGTGTATGTCTGTGGTTTTCCAGAATCCTGCCTATTCTCAAAACCAATTTTTGAGACCCTGCCACCTGCCAGAACTCTGGAGGAACTCTCATCACACCCAACAGTATTCTCAAAACCTCTGCTCAGTTTTTACTGCGTTATTATATTAAATACATGCCCATGTGATGCTTCTTTACATCTGTACATTGAGCATCCTTGAGAGTAGGTTTTTTTGTTCTCAACCAACAAGACACTCTCTAACACTAGAAGTAGCACTGTTTTAAACATGAGTACGAAAAGTTTTCATTCAACTTCTCTAGGATCCTACACGGTTCTGTATTGTGTCCCTAAAATATCTTGACTTAATTAGAATCAGTTGGTCCTAATTAAGTCAAAAGTCACTTCTCTCTAATTCTCGCCACAGAGTCATTGATCTATGCTTAACTGGAAAAGCTGCTTTAATACAAACAGATGTCATTCCTATTCCAAAAGACAGCGTAATCGTTAATACATCCCATACTTTCTTAAAGCCATTTTGTTTTTTATCTGACAGTTACAAGCTGTTTGAACTCTGGCTCTCAGTCTGCTGGAAGTTGCTGAGATTCATTCACCCATGCCAAGGCTGCTGTCAATTAACACAGAATGGGGCTTGTACTGGATCAGAGCAAAGCTCTCTTTTAGTTCTGACTGCTGATTTTTGGAAATGTTACTTGCTCCCAATACTGAGATGGCACAGGAGGTGAGAGCTGTCTCCAGAAGCAGCGCCCTGTCGTCCTAGGAAGGCCCAGTGGGAATTACATTTGTCCGTGGGTCAACAGAGCATTTGGAATGATGGGCGCAGGGAGTATGAGGACTAAACATAACAGTGCCCAAGAAAAGGCAGCAGTAACACCTGTGAAGCACACGCCCCAAACAGGTCAGCTGCTGTTTCTCCTCACTCTGTTTTCAAATCTGTGAAGACATTTGCAAAGTGACCTTTACACAAGAAATATTTCCTAAGAATTGACCCTTGTAATAAAAAAAGAAAGAAAGAAAGAAAGAAAAGAGAAAAGAAAAGAAAAAAAAGAATTGGGGCACCTGGGTGGTTCAGTAGGTTAAGCGTCCGACTCTTGGTTTCAGCTCAGGTCATGAAGTCATGGTTCATGAGTTCGAGCCCCACATTAAGCTCTGTGCTGACAGCACGGAGCCTGCTTAGGATTCTCTCTGTCTGTCTCTCTCTCTGTCTGTCTCTTTCTCTCTCTCTATCTCTCTCTCTGCACTTCCCCCATTTGTGCTGTCTCTTTCTCAAAATAAATAAACAGAAAGAAAAGAAAGGAAAGAAAAGGAAAGAGAGGAAGAAAGAAAGAAAGAAAGAAAGAAAGAAAGAAAGAAAGAAAGAAAGAAAGAAAGAAAGAAAGAATTGACTGTGTCAGATGCCATGGGGATACACAAAAGGTTGCCCCCAATGTCCTATCATATCAAGCTAGACCTAAACTTACCAGGAGATAAGAGAGGTTAAAATGACTCTGGAAATGCTCAGGGCTTTTCAAAAGGTGACTCCGAAGCTGTTCATAGTACCCTGATTCAAAAAAGTCCACTGCTAGGGGAAGCAGATGGGTCTGGTCCCAACTGGGAGACCAAGCCATGGTTCTGGCTGCTCCCAGAAATTGGGCTGGCAATCATGTTTAGGGTTGGTTTTTTTCATGAGCAGGGAAATAGGCTCACAAAAACACTAGAAATAGCCTATTGCATAGTCCCCAGCGCAGAGTCTCCCTGAAGAAATTTCTGGAAACTGAATTAAAATATGCCTTGTGAACGGAGCAAGAAACATTCTACAAAAGATGGAAACAGGCCCTGCTGAGAGCACAGCCCCTTCTTCACCACCCTGACACCTTCCCCCTACTCTGCAAGGGCAGCAGTGCAAGCATCGAAAAATATTCTCAGAGCAGACAAAACAAAAGAGGAATGCTCATTTTGAGAGCCTGAGCACCCATGAATGGGGACAAAGGCCGGCTGGGGCAGTATGTCTTTCTCCAGCCTACCCCCATTACATGGGTGAAAACACACAGTCTCTTTATCAGAGCTTTGGGGTCTCTTAAGAATTAAAAAAAAATCAATAGCTTAAGCTTTCCCTCAGAATCATTTGTTACAATCCCCTAAATTGAAGAACATTTAGTAAATAATTATTAAAAATAACAACCACAACACTAGAAAATACTAGCTTGTAATGTCACCTTCTTTTAACCAATTTTGGATTATCAACAATGGGTTTTAAAGTCCATTTTAATAACAGTTTCTGAGGGCTTAATGTGCACATCAAGGAGGAAATCCTAAAGGAACACTGTTTACAGACTGTTCTATTTGAAGAGTTAAAACTCTAGGATGGACAGGGTCTCAGTTATGGACTGCTGTAATCTGGTAGCTTACACTGCCCCGAATTCACCAAGCAATCAGGATGAAACACCACTGAAAATTACAGAGGGTGCATCCAGACCACAACTCCAATTCTTGGATTTTGGCTTTAGCTCCAGACAAATATGTTCATTTTAAATACTCTCAGGGAATCCAAGACTGTCTGAATTGTAGAAAATTTAGAAAACACAGATTGCAGAAAAGGACTGCTTTTGTATTTACTTCTGTTGTGAAGAGTCTGTGTCTGTAATCAGTCTGGAGGTCTTGCCAGAGGGGAGAAAGGGGCTGATCTACTGCTTTGGAAGTGCAAGAGTATGAGATGATTTTGATCACTGCGAATTGCTTTTTGAGTGGGTGGGATCCACACTGTGTTCAAACAATGGCCTGACCTATAGGTCCCCACCCTACTCCCCACCAACTGTAGGGAAAGCCGAGTGATTTCCCAGGAAGCAGCTTTGAGCAACCAAAGAGGAGGTGCCCTGAGATCCAGATCACTCTTAACTGCTGGCAGCTTAATCCTGCCTCTTCCCAGATGTGGGGCTCACAGAAAAAATCCAGAGAACCTACCAGGAATATGAAACCCACTGCTCCTCTATCAAGGGCCACGCCTGCCTGATTAGAATCACTGTATGTCCATCCCGCCCAAACCCTAAGAAGAGCAGGCTCAGACTCATCAAACCCACTGGCCCATGACTATTCCTCTTACTACCCAAACAGGCTTCCTAAGTCAGGTATAAGGAAGGAGCCATCATTCTTGGAAAATGAGGCAAAAATCATCCTCCACAAATAACACCCTTGGAAAATCACAAGAACCATGATTTAACAATAAATCTACAAATGCATGATGAAATAGTAGAAGAACTTAAAATCACCTCATTCTTAAGTTATGAGAATGAACAAGCAGCAGCACATGCCAAAAGGAGTTAACAGTCTAATGTTTAGAGCATTTCCCTCAAAAACAGGCTCAGGCAACCCTGGGAGAAATACAGCCACCAAAATGTGATTCTTTGGCTTAAAAAAGTGCAGAGAATTAAAAACATGTCATTCAGTTAAAAGTGGCTGACTGGCCACGTGTTCTTAATGCCTCTCCCTCCTAACAATCCACTGAACTAGGAGAGGAATTAAAATAAAGTATAGACCCAAAGCAAAGAAAACAAAAGGGAGACCATCAGAAGAGTTGTCTACAAATTTACGGAGGAATTGTAAGCAGCAGCACAGGAAAACCACAGCATAGAAAGTCCACGTCTAGGGAGGGGGGTCCTGGAATGCCAGAGGCTCAGAGTTCAAAAATGGGAAACACAGGGAAGGCCAGATCTGGGTCTGCAAGTCCCTATAAAAAGGCTCCAGCCCCTCCCTGCCCACCCAGAGCTCAGAGCAGGCTTGCACTTGGGGCTGTGGTTTGCAGCACCTTTTTGAAAAACTTGGCATTATGTCCATTACATTCTTCCCGAGACACCTAGTCATGTTTGAAATGTTCTCTATTTAAAGATTAGAATCAGGAATGTGAGAGTTTAAGGAACCCTCAGAGCTCACCCAGCCCAACCCACTTATTTTGCCAGGTGAGGAAGTGGAAGCTAAAATAGCTTGCCCAGGGTTACCCAGTAGCAGGGTCTGGACTCATCCACAAGCCTCCATAATGTCTTTACTCCATGCTTTCCCTCTAAACTCACTCAGGGTGGGGAGATCCTCCAGGCCCCTCTCCCTCCCCCCGGCCCACAGCAGAGCAGAGGCACCTTCAGAGCGGTGAATGCACGTGTGCTGATTGTCACTCAGGAAAAATCCCTCCTTGCAGCGGCACTCGTAGCTCCCCATGACGTTGACACAGGTGTGCTGGCAGCCGCCATTGTTCTCCAGGCACTCGTCCACATCTGGAGGGAGAGGAGGATTAGCCTCTGCTTTTGTGTCTGTTTCAAATGCCCATCCCTCCCAGCAGCTCAGGACACCCGCTAAGCAGAGATGAGGTCCCTCTTCCTTCCCTGCATCACAGAAACTCTCAGAATTGAAATCAGCAGGTACCCAAGACTGCAAGGTCTGGGGCTCATATAACCAGGCCCTCCACCTGAACACAAGATAATATATTCGGTAAGTATTTCTTAAACACCTTCTCTTTCCAAAGTATGGTGCTAGAGGGGACAGTAAAACACAGATGAGTAGGATCAAATTCTTTTGCCCTAGAGGCATGGCCCTCAGCAGACGGAAAGAGACAAATGTACAAGTAATTGTGAGATATAGTAAAAGGTGGTACAGGGGAAAAAGAGGCTACCTGGTTGTGGGCTATCAGGGTGGGTTTTACGGAAGAGCTGATGGAAGATGGGCTCTATAGGAAGCTTTCAGTTCTAAATCAGGAGAAGGATTCTGGACAAAAGAAAGAACATGAGCATAGCACCAATGCTGGGGAGCACGGAGCATGTTCACATAGGGTGAGTCATTCAGTTTGGCTGGAGCACGGGTACATGCAGGGAACTTACAGGAGATAAATCTGGAAATAGATTGGGTCACTCTGTGGAGGACCTTGTATCAGGCAAAGAGGTTCCTATTTAATTTAAGAGGCAGTTGGGAACCACTGTAGCAAGGGTGGCATGGTCAGACCCTGGGGTTGGGAAGAATAAGGTGGTAGCCAAGGGTAGGACGCAAGGAAGGAGAAGAATAGAAAGCCTGGGAGTCTGGCTTTACATGTGAACCTGAAATAGCCTCGGCTGGCACTAGTGGAGGATAGGACCTGGGGCCTGGCTGAGGGGATGCCTAGGAAGGAAGAAATAGAAGCACTGTGGGCAAGGTGCGTGCCGGGTGGAAAGCCACGTGGGCATTGGGTGGGGTGGCCGAGAAACATGGTGAAGACCAGAGCTAGGTAGGGAAATAGGGGTGGGGATGTGGCTGGTCCCCACCATGCCAGGAAGGTGATGTATGTGAGATGGTGACATTCAGGCATTGGTCCAGTAGGCAGAGGGAAACCTGAGTCTGGTGTCATAAATACACCTCTGAAAGTCATTTACTTGTGGTGGCCTGATAAAGTGGTGGATGTAAATGAGAAAGCCACAGGCAGGAGTGGGAAGGGACAGAAAGGTTGCAGAGAGCACATGGCCAGATGTAGAATTCGGAAGAATACCAGCCGCAGGAGGAGGTAGATTTGACAGCAGAAGCCCCAGAAGAGGAGCCATCAGAAAGACAGAAGGGGAGTGAGTCTTCCTCCATCTGTCTTTCTGTGCCCCCCAGGATGGAGTTAGGGAACTTTTCTTCCACTGTGTCATATATTACTCTGTGCATGGCTACACCAATACACTTAGCATATTGTATTCTCAAATTCTTCTTTTTGTACCTTTGACCCCTCAAAATCTTTCACCTAGCCATCTCCACTAGACTGCAAACTCCTTGAGGACAGAGACCTTTGCTTTATTTAGCATAGCCCTGGAACTGCAGGTGCACATTAATTGTTCAATGCATGAACAAAAAGGCAGGAAAGCACAGCATCATTAGAGCCAAAGAAGAAGAAACTTCCAGAAAAATCTCAGACATGACAAAGGCTCAAGGAGGAGGTTGATATAAAAGCAATTTATTTCTCCAGCCTGATTTCCCATGTGCCTATCACTAGCTCCTGGGCACATCCATAACAAGAAAATTCACATTTAAATATCTGTTATCTGGTTTCAAGCTTCAGATCTTACAGTCATACATCCTCCCACACTACCAGGCAGATGCCTTTCTAAACTGATGGGACTCGAGCCATCCCCTTAAGCCTAACAAACTTGCCCTTCTCTGTGCCAAAGGGTGAAGGGAGCACATTCCAAAGGATGAGTTGCCCTGGAACACACCTAGCTAAGGTGTTCCACAGTGAGGACTCATGGTGAGCCGGAGAGATCTATTTCACTGAATACCAAATCCTGGATTGGTTTTGAATAAAGACGTGCTCCCCTCTGAGCCGCCACCCACCCACCCTCCATTTAACCCCCTATTCCTTTCTCCAAAGCAATTAGAAATGTGCCATTGAGTTGGGTGACATACTCTGACTGCATTAATACAAAAGAGTGTGTGTTCACATACACAAAGAGGTATCACTAGCCTGGTGAGTTTCTCCAGACTGCAAAACAGTGGTTCTCTACCTTGGCTGCATGTTAGCAACCAGATGCTCAGACCCCACCTCCTGAGACCCCACCTCCTGAGACACTGATATAACTAATCTTGGATGAGACCTAGGCAGTGGTGTTGTTTTAAACTTCTTGAGTGATTCTAATGTGCAGCCAGAGTTGAGAACCACGGCCCCCACACTGAATAGCTACGATGCACTCCTAGATACTCAATAAATGGAAACTGAATTCAGGCAGGTAAGCTACGTGGAAGAGCTACATTTCATTTTTCAGGCTCAATGCATTCAGGATCTTGGAGCACACTGGGTTTGGTGCCAGAGCTAAGTAATATATGTACTGTGTATATTCTGTACTGTGTATATTCTGGTATGTTGTAGCTAATATGTGGTAAGGTGCTGAGGAGAGGTAAGGGGTTATCGCAAAGAACACAGGAAAGGCCTGCTCCTGAAAAGTTCTGGCTCTGAGTTTCCTTGTCACAAAATGCCTCAGCCCTCTCAAGTCTAAATGGCAGAGAAATCGCTGTGTCTGCTGGTCCTGCTCTTCTAACGGTATCACTTCATTTTTCTCATGGCTTCCTTTAAAGAATCCTTTGCCCCTTCAGATACACTCAGTGGATACTCAGGATCTCTCTGCCAGGCAGATCCTTGCTATCAAGTCCACAAAGAGACCCCAAAGAAGGAAAATGGAGAGTCTGCTGAAATATCTGTGTTAGCAGCCAAGACAAGGAAAAGACTCCTGGTCTGAGGATTTCTGAGCCGGCCTTTACTCAAAACCACCCGACCCCAACGCTGGCCCAGGTTCTGAAACCCTGCCTGTTGTTAAGAATCTCACACATTCCCCCAGGCACAACTTGGGGGTTGAGCGTAACTGTAATGACTAGATCTGCCATTAGATATAAATTCCCAAAATGCCACTTTTGGCAAATCAAAAGGAAATGTGAGATTTACCCCAGATAACGGTAAAAACAAAGCCAAACCCCCAAAACATACTTCATTCTTCCCAAAATATTATACACTGAAAGTGACTTCATTTTTTGTTCAGTTTTTAATCAGTCTGAAGTACTGTTGTCACGATGGTCTCTCTAGTGTCTTTTTGTGGTCTGGCTGCCCTAGACAGTCTGCAAAGTGGTTAGTGAGTCCTCAGCCCTCAGTCAAATCTTCCTGACAGCTATAGACTTAGAAGGCCAAGTGGTCTGACCCAAGGATTGACCTCTCACACAGGGCAGACAGGAAGGGACAGAATCTATTTCAGGATGGGGTTCCAGGTGATAGTGAAGCAGGATAAACATCATACAAGGGTTGATTCCCAGAATCAAAAGACTCTGGAAAGACTTTCCTTCTCTACCACTCAAAAAACGAGTTCTGGGGGCTTATGGGTGGCTTAGTCGGTTAAGCGTCTGACTTTCGCTGAGGTCATGATCTCGCGGTTCGTGGGTTCGAGCCCCGCGTCGGGCTCTGTGCTGACTGCCAGCTCAGAGCCTGGAGCCTGTTTCAGAGTCTGTCACTCCCTCTCNGTTCGAGCCCCGCGTCGGGCTCTGTGCTGACTGCCAGCTCAGAGCCTGGAGCCTGTTTCAGAGTCTGTCACTCCCTCTCTCCCTGACCCTCCCCTGCTCATGCTGTCTCTCTCTCCTAGAAATAAATAAAACATTAAAAAAATTTTTTTTAATTAAAAAAAAAAACAAAACAAAAAGCGAGTTCTGTCTATACTTATCTATGCTGCTCTCAAAGCATTTAATCAAGTGGCCATTCCCCCTGTATTATCAGGGGGCATCTCAGTTGCTGTCCGCTCTGTGACCAAGTTACTCCTTGGTCAGCCAAGCAGATACCAGCAGGTTAACCGCATAAAAGGTCATCAGCATCAAAGGACCCTGGTGCCATCTGTGTCCCATGATGTTCTCCTGCACGACTGATAACACCAGCCTTAAAATGAAAACAGACCACAATACCTGTCTGCCAAGTGTGCTGCATCCTCTAAGTCTCTCCCATACTCAGTCCCATCCAATTGCTTGCTATTTCTGAATTCTGTTTATTCCTGGCATAAGCAACCAACATAAACAAGGCTCTTTGCAGTCCATAACTCAGGGACTAAAACTCCAACAGATGTTTCTGTTTTGTGGGATAATAGGACGATGTCAGCAGAGGGTTTCTGTCTGAACTCCTCTGCCTCTCAAGAAAAAAGAGGTGGGGTTACCTGGCTGAGATCCAATCACACATTTGGAATTTTCAGAATAAGTAGTTTTACCTAATTCTAGAATAGAGATACTTACAGCATTAAAGAAATGGTTATAAGTCTTTCAATACAAGATCAAAGATCTTAAAGGTGACAGGTCAATGCTAGAAAGTCATAAGTAGTAATAATGATGTTGTCCATCTCTTAGACTAATGGAGAATTTACATTACATTAAGTATAATCACATATAAGCCAAAGCACTGTACCTGGTTTTCTATCAGGGACTGTGATTTTGAGGGGGCCAGAAAACACAAGTCTCTGATCCTCTTTTTATTTTAATGAGTATGTTTTCATCAAAGGAAAGAAAAGGGTGGGGAGCCGGAGGGTAGATAGAGGAGAATTGCCATTTCCAACCATTTTCCTTACCAAGACAATTATGACCATCATGAGCCAACATGAAGCCATCAAAACAAGTACAGCGATAATTGCCTGGAATATTCAAACAGTCATGGACACAGCCTCCGTTGAGTTCATTTTCACATTCATCAATGTCTGAGGAATAAAACAGAAGTAAGTCAGACAGGTGCCATTTCTGTAGTATGGAGATATAACGTATTTACCTTCTAACCAGTCATCCCACTTCTAGGACTCTAACCTGAAGAGAAATCTCCAACAACATGAAAATAAATATGCACAAGGTAATTCACTGCAGTATTGTTTGTAATCACAAAATACTAGAAACAACCTAAATGCCCATACATAGGAGAGAGTAGTTGAAGAACTACGGTACATTTATTCGATCCAATACTGTGCAGCTGTTAAAAAAAAAAAAAAAAGAATGAGAAAGATCTCTATGAACTGTTTTAGGGTGATTTCTAGGATATACTGCTAAGTTTAAAAATCAAAATGTAAGAGTACCTGTAGATTATTATCATGTAAAAAAAATAAGGGAATATGAAAAAACACCCACATGAAATTCCAGCATGCTTTTTGGCAGAACTTGACAAGCTTATCCAATTTATATAGAAGCGCAAAAGACTCAGAAGAACAAAAACAGTTTTGAAAAAGGAGAACAGATTTGGAGGACTTTCACTTACCAAAAATCTATGGTTATCAGGACAGTGTGACACAGGCATAAAGAAAAACAGACAGATCAATGGAACAGAATAGAGTCCAGAAATAAACCATTATGTTTATGGTCACTTGATTTTTAGACAAGAGTGCCTTAGAAATGATAGTCTTGTCCAATTTGTTGGGAGAAATGATAGTCTTTTCAACAAATGGTGCTTGGACAATTAATATCCATATGCAAAAGATGAATTTGGACCCTTACCTCACATCTCTACAAAATTCAACTCAAAATGGATCAGGGACCCAAATTTAAGAGCTTAACCTATAAAACTTTTAAGAGAAAACATAAAACTTTTATGAGAAATATCTTTGAGACCTTATTAGGTAAAGATTTCTTAGATACAACCTCAAACACACAATTCATAAATTTTAAAATTAGTTAATTGGACTTTATCAAAATTTAAAACTTTTACACTTAAAATAAAGACAAGCCACAGATTGGTGGAAAATATTTGCAAATCACATACCTTATAAAGAACTTACAAAAAACTCTTAAAACAAAGGAGAAGACAAACCACCCAATTTTAGAATGGGCAAAAATCTGAATAAACATCTCACCAAAGGTGATATACAAATGGGTAATAAACATATGAAAAGATAGTCAACATCCTTAATTATTAGGGGAATTCAAATTAAAACTGGAGTGAGATACCATTTCACACTCATGGGGACAGTTATGATAAAAAAGACAGACAATAGGGGAGGCTGGGTAGCTCAGTCAATTAAGCAAGTGTCTGACTTCAGCTCGGGTCAAGATCTCACAGTTCGTGAGTCTGAGCCCTGTATCAGGCTCTGTGCTGTCAGTGCCAAGCCCACTTCAGATCCTCTCTAGCCTTCCTGCACTTGTGCTCTCTCTCTCTCAAAAATAAATATTGATTAATTTTTTTTTAATGTTTTAACATTTATTCTTTTTTGAGAGACAGAGCAGGGGTGGGCAAGGAGCAGAGAGAGAGGGAGACACAGAATCTGAAGCAGGCTCCAGTCTCTGAGCCATCAGCACAGAGCCCAACGCCAGGCTCAAACCCACGAACTGTGAGATCATGACCTGAGCCAAAGTCAGATGCTTAACCAGCCGAGCCACCCAGGCGCCCCAATATTTATTTTTAAAAAAGATAATAGGATGTAGAGAAATGGGAACCCTCACATATCGCTAATGACAATGTAAGATGGCCCAGCCACTTTGGACACAGTGTAGCAGTTTCTTAAAAGGTTAAACATAAATTTACCATGTGTGATCTAGAAAGTTCACTTCTAGGTATATATCCAAGAGAAATGAAAAATTATGTCCATACAAAGACTTTGCAGGTAAATGTTCATAGCAACATTACTTATGATAGCCCAAAAGTAAAAACAATCTAGATGTCCATCAACTGGTGAATGGATAAACAAAATATAGTATATCCATACAACACAATGCTAGTCAACAATTAAAAAATAAAATGCCAGTACAGGCTACAACATGGATGAATCTCAGAAACATGCTGGGTGAGGGGCGCCTGAGTGGCTTAGTTGGTTAAGCTCAGGTCATGATCTCATGGTTTGTGGGTTCAAGCCCTGCATCAGGCTCTGTGCTGACAGCTCAGAGCTTGGAGCCTACTTCAGATTCCATGTTTCTGTGTCTCTCTGCCCTTTCCTGGCTTATGCTCTCTCTTTTTCTCCCAAAAATAAATTTAAAAAATTTTTTTAAAAACCTTGCTGGGTGACAGTGGAAAAAAGACAGCCTCTTTAACAGATGGTATTGGGAGAACTGGACAGCAACATGCAGAAGAATGAAACTAGATCATTTTCTCACACCATACACAAAAATAAACTCAAAGTGGATAAAGGACCTGAACGTGAGACAGGAAACCATCAAAACCCTAGAGGAGAAAGCAGGAAACAACCTCCTTGACCTCCACCGCAGCAACTTCTTACTTGACACATCCCCAAAAGCAAGGGAATCAAGAGCAAAAATAAACTATTGAGGCCTCATCAAGATCAAAAGCTTCTGCACAGCAAAGGAAACAATCCACAAAACTAACAGGCAACCAACGGAATGGGAAAAGATAGTTGCAAGTGACATATCAGATAAAGGGTTACTATCCAAAATCTATAAGGAACTCACCAAACTCCACACCTGAAAAACAAACGACCCAGTAAAGAAATGGGCAGAAGATATGAACAGACACTTCTCCAAAGAGGACATCCAGATGGCCAACAGACACATGAAATGATGCCCAGCATCCCTCCTCATCAGGGAAATACAAATCAAAACCACACTGAGATACCACTTCACGCCAGTCAGAGTGGCTAAAATGAGCAAATCAGAGAACTCTAGATGCTGGCGAGGATGTGGAGAAATGGGCACACCCTCCTACCCTGTTGGTGGGAATGTAAACTGGCACAGCCCCTCTGGAAAACAGTGTGGGGGTTCCTCAGGAAACTAACAATAGAACTCCCCTATGACCCAGCAATAACACTGCTAGGAATTTACCCAAGGGATACAGAAATGCTGATACATAGGGGTACATGGACACCAATGTTCATAGCAGCACTCTCAACAATAGCTAAAACATGGAAAGAGCCTAAGGGTCCATCAACGGACCAATGGATCAAGAAGATGTGGTTTATCTATACAATGGAATACTACATGGCAATGAGAAACAATGAAATCTGGCCATGTGTAGCAACATGGGTGGACCTTGAGGCTGTTATGCTGAGCGAAATAAGGCAGGCAGAGAAGGACAAATATCATGTTTGCACATATAGGAGGATTAGGAGGAACTTAACTGAAGACCAAGGGGGAGAAGAAGGGGGGAAATGGTGGGGGAAAGGGAGAGAGGCAAACCATGAGAGACTCTTGAATGCTGAGAACAAACTGAGGACTGATGGATGTGGGGGGGCGGGGAGATGGGCATGGAGGGGGGCACTTGTGGGGATGAGCACTGGGTGATATATGAAAAACAACTTGACAATAAACTATTTGTAAAAAATAATAATAAAAAAATTAAATTTTTTAAAAAAACCATGCTGAGTGAGAGAAGCCAAAAACAAAAGACCACATGATGGGGCACCTGGGTGGCTCAGTCGGTTAGGTGGCTGACTTTGGTTCAGGTCATGATCTCGCAGTTCATGGGTTCGAGCCCCGCGTGGGTCTCTGTGCTGACAGCTAGCTCAGAGCCTGGAGCCTGTTTCAGATTCCGTGTCCCCCTCTCTCTCTGACCCTCCCCTGCTCACACTGTCTCTCTCTCTCGCTCTCTTGCACTCTCTCTCAGAAGTAAATAAAACATTAAAAATAATCAAAAGATCACATGTTGTATGATTCTATTTATATGAAAGATCCAGAAAGGCAACTCTATAAGACAGAAAGTAGACTAGTGGTTGCCTGGAGCTGGAGCTGGGAATAAGGATTAACTGTACTTGGGCATAAGGGATCTTACTGGTAGACAAGGAAAATGTTTGAAAAATGTATTATGTGACGGTTGCACAACTCGGCTAATTCACTCAAAATCATTGATTTTTATACTTACTTAGAATTGTGGCTTTTATAGTACATAAATTAGAAGTCACTAAGGTAGTTAAAAGGAAAATACACATTTAGCTGCAAAAGAAATCTAGGAGGCAGGAGGAATAAACCAGAAACTATGAAGATTAGTAATCAATTCATGGTATATAGCAAAAGGATGAAAAGAAGTCATGAGTGGCACCTGGGTGGCTCAGTCGGTTAAGCACTGGACTCTTGATTTTGGTTCAGTCACCGTCTCATGGTTTGTGAAATCGAGCCCCACATCTGGCTCTGCCCTGACAGTCCTTCCCTGTTCTCTCTCTGCCCCTCCCCTGCTCACATGCATTCTCTCTCTTGCTCTCTCTCTCTCGTTCTCAAAATAAATAAATAAACATTAAAAAAAAAAAAGAGAGAGAGACAGAAGGAAGAATGAGGAACAGGGGAACAAGAATAGGGAGAAGGAGTAATACTTATCTGAGTATGCCTTTTTATTTTATTTTATTTTTAAAGGTTATTTATTTTGAAATAGAGAGAATAGAGGAGGGGCAGAGAAAGAGAGAGAGAGAGAGAGAGAGAGAGAGAGAATCCCAAGCAGGCTATACACTGTCAGCACAGAGCTCAATGTGGGGCTTGATCTCACACTTTGTGAGATCATGACCTGAATCAAGATCAAGAGTCACAGGTTTAACTGACTGAGCACCCAGGCATCCCTAAGTATGCCTTTTTATATAGTTTTGACTCTCAGAACCATAGTGATATATACATGAACATATATATATATATATATATATTATGTATATATATATATATATATACATAAATACAGATCTACTTATGTACATACATGTAATCAATTAGTTTACAGAGCTGAGGGGAGGGGAACAGACAAAATATTGGATACAAACAGAAACAAATGAACTTAAGTGTGCTACAAATGAATAACAACCACACTGAAGGAAATGTAGAAAAAAAAGTACTGACCAAGTGACTTTGAAAAAACTCATCTTGACTGAATGGTATAAGGCTAAAAGTAAAGATTGCTACAAATGGATACTATACTCTAATTAGTAAAATCTGTTTTACCTGCAAGGCAAAGGTAAAGGTATAGATTAAGTGTTGTAAATTATTTATGTGTACACTTGGATTCAACAAACAAATACTATCTTGCAGATAATGAGAGCCACCTTTCTCACTGTTGGAAAAGAAGTAATGAATAAACAAAGAGGGAGATTCCTTGAACCTTGTGGCATTGTTATGGAATCCAAAGCATCATCAGTGTAAGTCATTGTTTTTAATATATATACAAATGGGTAATAGAAGGAATAAATACAGATAAATGTATATGTGCGGGTTAGAATACATACATATGTTTCCTAGGTCTATCCAGTGAGATAGCCCAGGAGCAGTGCCATCCCAGTAACAATGAGAACACCAAGCATTCAGATCTTAATTTCTATATACCATTTTCCAATAAAAGAAACCAGGTGCCTTGGAGAAGTGGTGGGTTGCAGGCCTGGGAAGGGAAAATACAAGATGAGTCTGTGGCATCTTATGGTATCAGAAAACAAGGAATTGCCCCAAAAAGGATGAGGGCATGTCAAAAGGACACAGGAAACAATGGAGCTCCCAATGGCTACAGCTGAAACAATGTGAGCCCAAAATAAATAACTATACATATAATTAAATATCTACCAGTCCACACTGGCATAAATAAATAGGGGAGAAGCAACAAGTCTTCCTTACAGAAGAATCTCAGTTAATAGATGTATAAGGAATGAGGGAAATACAAAATTACCAATTATTACATCATAGTAATAATTGTTGCAGACAAGATCCACAGTTGGATGCTAAAATCAGTGGGCAAAGACTTGAGAAGAGGGGCTCCTGGGTGGCTCAGTTGGCTAACCATCCAGCTTCGGCACAGGTCATGATCTCATGGTTCATGAGTTCAAGCCCCAGATCGGTTCTGTGCTGACAGCTCAGAGCCTGGAGCCTGTTTCAGATTCTGTGTCTCCCTCTCACTCTGCTCCTCTCCTGCTTGCAATCTCTTTCTCAAAAATAAATAAACATTTTTAGAAAATTGCTTTAAATGACTTGAGAAGAAACAGGATATTAGCATAGGCTGAAAGTAATCTGCCCTAAGATGTGTGTTATTGCAAAAAGAAAAAACAGTAACTTGCAGCAGAGAAACCTAGGATGTCCCATATTTTTTCTTTGAATAATTTACTGTCAAGTTAGCTAACATACAGGGTATATAGTGTGCTCTTAGCTTCAGGGGTAGATTTCCATGATTCATCACTTACATACAGCACTCAGTGCTCATCCTAACAAGTGTCCTTCTCAATGCCAATCACCCATTTGCCCCACTCCCCCCACCCCCATCAACCCTCAGTTTGTTCTCTGTATTTAAGAGTCTCTTATGGTTTGCCTCTATCTCTCTTTGTAACTTTTTTTTTTTTCAGGATGCACCATCTTAACCAGGTGATCAAGGCATTACCTTAATTTTATTGTGAGGAAATACAGGATATTCACTTATTGTGTCAATTCCTACCATATCAATTCTTATAATAAAAAAACCCATAACTTGATAGGTATTCAAAAGTATTACAAGCATTTAAAAGATCAAATCCCTCTAAGGACTTCTGGGTTGCTCAGTTGGTTAAGCATGAGACTCTTGATTTCTACTCAGGTTGTGATCTCATGGTCTGTGAGACTGAGCCCTAAGAGAGCCCTGAGATCAAGGCCCCCCCCCCCCCCATCAGTACTCCTGTAGTGTACAGAGCTGACGGCAGGGAGCTTGCCTGGGGTTCTTTCTCCCTCTCTCTCTGTCCCTCATGTGAATGCTCTCTCACTCTCTCTCTCAAAATAAATAAATAAATAAAAAGATCAAATCCCTCTAGAGTTTTAGTTTTAAATGACAGTAAAAAGAACATATGCTCCCTATTAACAGTGATTACCTGTGGATAAAGGAATAATTTTAATTTTTTATCTTATACATTTTCTGTATTGTTTGACTAATATAACAATAATATATATATTATTATTTTAAAGCCAATTTAAATATATAAAAGCAACAATTCCAGTCAATCATTCTAATTATTTTAAACTAAACAGTAGACTTTTCAACTATAAATTGTCAGCAATTCAATTCCATGTGTCATACATCAAGGCCAGCAGCTAAGAATAAGGAAATTCTTGCCACTTGTCATTCTACATCAGTTACTAACCATACACTCTAACTCAAAGAAACCATGGCACAGTTTCTTCCCATCCCCACCCCCAGGGAGTATGCAGTGACTGGAAAAACCAGTGAAAGAGTGAACCATTTTTTCCCCAAGCAGGGTACCAACATGTGTGAATTCCAGTACTGTAAATAGAATATTTAATACAGTGAGGGTGTGGTATGGAGGAACCGGCAGAGAGATGTTTCAGGGAGAGGTAGCCCTTCTGCAAGACAAGGCTGCCTGTCTCTCGGAAAGCATGAACTTGGAGAATACAAGGGCTTTACGGATAGACCACCAACCCCATTTGCTATGAACGTGACTAGGAGCATGTCTCCTCTGACAGAAGAGGCAAGTTTTGCTCCTCATGCGCAAAGGAAAGTATAAATATCAGGATTTCTCACCAAAGAAAGATACCAGGAGGCTGACTGAAAACAAGAGATATGGGTCCAGGGACAGAACTAGGGTAGACATGTGACTTCTTTTCACCCTTCTTTTAACTGTGTTATTAGGGCCACAGGTCCCCTTCTCAATTCCCGTGGGCCTCAGTGTCTCAATCTGAGGAATGGGAACATGCCATGATTTCCATCCCCAGGAATAGCCTCCTCCTATCAGTACCCAGTCTCTGGCCAGTTCTGAATTTCAGAGTTCATGACACTGGCCCAGAACACAAGATGACAGAGGTCAGACTTCAGGCTCAAAGATCCGGAACTCCAAGGGCTCAAAATATTCCTCTGCATACATCTTTCCAGGGTGAACATGCAGCTTCAAATAAGGCTGGTGCCTGGCGAAGCTCTAAAGCTCGGGAGGTCAGAGTGCCAGCCTGAAGCCACGAACAAGATGGAGTCTTCAGAGCCAGCAGTGGAGGGCAAGACTCCTGCACTCAGACTCCAGGGCGAGGATATAAACTGCCCCAGGGATGGGCAAGCTCAACCGTTCTCTGGCAGGCACGGCTCTCCTGATCAGAACTTTCCGCTCCCAAACTGATAGGGACCAAAAATACTAAAGCACCTCTTTTCCTTTTCACAAGCCAGACAAAAGGACATTTCAGAACCACATAAAACTGTACGCAGCTCTAGGGAAGACCTGATGTTGCTAGCCCTTTAAGGGTCTGAGATGGATTTTGGAGGTGGGTGGTATGACCTGGGAGGTTAGGGGAACCGCACTGTTACCAACATGAGTGGTCACTACAAGAGCTGAGGAGGGAGGGAGCTTCACCTGCTGGACCCCTCACCAGAGATCCCCCCAGTCACTTACCCTCGCACTGCCTGCCCTCCCCTCGGTAGCCAGGCTTGCAGGAGCACTTGTAGGAGGTGAGCGTATTCTCACAGAGGGCATTGGTGTGGCAGTCATCTAGCCCTTCGGCACACTCGTCCACATCTGCAAAAGAGCACAGCAAGCTCTTGGTATGGTGCCCCAAGCCCTCTATGATCCGGCCTTGGTCCTCCGGCAGCTTCTTCTCCCACCAGCACCCCACTTCACTCCTCATCAGCTAAACTTGGGAGCCCCTGGGATGAAGCATACCACTTCCAGGCTCCTTCTCCAGGCACAGCCTGTTCCCTTAGACTAGAATACACACACACACACACACACACACACACACACACACACACTCTCTTTCTACTCCCTTTCTCCAAGAAGCCTACCATGATCCCCCAGTGCAGGTGGATGTCCCGCACGACCTGCTCCCATATTTATCCCCTTTCATAGCAGGTACCACACAGGATAGTGACTGTCTGTTTTCCTGCCTGTCCTCCCCCCTAAATGGTGTCTTGATTACAGACTGAGTGGGTGTCCCTGATGCCAAGCACAGTGCCTAGCACATGAAGAGGCAATAACAAATGCCTGTTGAAGGAAACACCAGGTTGGCAACAAAACAAACCGTTGTGAAAATCAAGCAGTGTCAGCTTTCTCCGGGTTTGGGGGATGGGGAGTAGCTTGCCCTGGGCTCTGACTACACCATCCCCAGCTCTCAGATGGTGGTGCGAAGTGGGAATGCTTTCCACACCCCATCAACCAGCTGCTCACCCTCTCAACCTGGAAACCGGCCTTGATGGAAGTATTTCCTGGGTTGACACCACTCCAGGATGTTAAATTAAAAACAAAAGTTTTGAAAATACTGTGAGTCCAGTTAATACAGAACGTCCAGAGTCCTTCTCTCTGGCAGCAGAAAAAAACCCAAAACCCAAAACCCAAAACCCCAACCCCAAAACAAAACAAAACAACCCCCTCCTCCCTCCCCCCAGGTTTGTTGCGGCTTACGAGGTATTCCCGGATCCTCAGCCGGCAGAAAACTCTTCGGAGCCAACCCTAAGGCCGGCAGAACTTTCGACCCCAGAAGAAAGAAGGAGCAAAGCTGCCACGACCTCACGGACGTACCCCGTACCCCGGTCGGCGCCCTCAGTTTCGCCATCTACACAATGAGGAGCCCGGACCCCGGTGACTCCGGTGCCCTCCGTCCCTCTCAGCGGGAGAGAGTCTGACTAGCATGCGCTCTCCGGGGACCCCGGGCGGCGGGACCGGGCTGGGAACTGTCATCACCCCCGGGTCCGAGGCCGGGCCGCAGCCCTCGGGCCCTGGGCCTCTAGCCCAAGCGGTGCCTTGGCCTGGCCCGCGGGGGAGGCCCCAGGGGAGCGGGGGCCACGCGGAGCTCCCGCAGCCGAGCCTGGGGCCGGCGGGCGCGGCGCGACCCCACCCGGAGAGCCGGGACCCCTTCCCGCCGCCGGCTCCGCCTGCGCCTGCCAGGTGCGTCCCCGAGGCCCCAGAGGTGCGGACACTCACCCGCAGGCGCCCCCGGGGCGCGGCCCCGGCCGGGCGGGACGGCCGCGGTCAGCAGCAGCGGCAGCGGCAGCAGCAGCGGCAGCAGCGCCCGGGCCGTCCCGGGGCAGCCGCGGCCCAAGACCCCCATGGATGGCGCGGCGGCTGCGGGCAGAGGCGGCGAGCGTGGCGGCGGCTCCGGGAGGTGTGTGCGGGCGCCCTGCTCGCCGCGTTCTGACACCCCCGACCCGGCCCCGCCCGGCCCCCGAGCCCCGGCCTCATTTTCACACGGTCCTCCCTGGGCCGGGGCGGGCGGCGCGGGGGGCAGTGCCGCCCCTCCCGGCCCCCTCCCTTCCGGGCGCGGGGCGGAGGGGGCGCGGCCGCGGTGGCCGGAGGGCTGCTGTCAGAGTCCCCAGGGCAGGCCCCGTCGCTAAACCCGCTGCTCCCGCACCCTCGCTCCTCTCCAGCCCTCAGAGCCTTGTCCTCCCCCTGTTTTAAGTGTCCTACAACTTGACCCAGTCCCTCTTGTGAGGACAAACAGCACTCTGGCCTGAAACATTCAGACACCAGGCTCCCAGAAAGCGTCCTGTGTAGCTCAGAATCCTATACTCCCTGAACCCCACGGCCACCTGTAGGGCTTTCCCATCTCTCTCCACTTGGGGTGAATAATGTGGCTGGACCCTCAGGAGACTCAGGGGAGACAACCCCAGCCTCCCTGCTCACCTTCACGCACACTCTGCACCCTTCTCCATTCTGCCCAGCCCAGGCCTTCTGTGATCCCCAGCACCAGGCAGGGTCCCGCCTGTCCCACCGAGGCGCCTGCTTCGACTGTGCGACTGTGCCTCTCCGATGCACTGCTGGGCCAGGAATCACCGCAGAGGATGCTCATCTCACTGAACACTAGTTCAGCGTATGTACAGGGCAGCCAAAATGTGAAGGCAAAGCAGGCTAGAGGTCAAAGGTGAGCACCAAGGACAAGAAACTGCACCAGTTTTGCCTGGGACACAGGTGGTATCTATGACCACCTGAACTCATAAATGTCTGGTCTGGCCAGCTGCAGATACAGGTGGCAAATGTCAGCTGGCCCTCCAAGCAAGACCCTCCTTACAAGGGAACCCATGTATACAGGTTATTTCCATAACCCCCCCCCCCCACCTTGCCACAGATGCTGAGCCCACTACACTCAGCATCACTCCAGGAATAAATGTGGCAACAATTGTGAGATGCAACAAAATACCATACTGAGCCCACTACACTCAGCATCACTCCAGGAATAAATGTGGCAACAATTGTGAGATGCAACAAAATACCATACTGAGGGGGTTTAATCAGAGCTCCTCTTTATCCAATTTTCTCCTATTGTATATACATACATGTATGTATGTTTGTGTATGTGTGTATATATTTACAGAAGAAAATTCAATAATGAATATAGATGAATATTGAATAGATAAATCTATACATATATTCAATATTCACTTATATTTATTATATATTCTCTCTCTCTATATATATATAAACACACACACACACACACACACACACATACGCCATCCCTTTGGTAATCAGAAAAAAAAATCACAAAATGTACCCACCTAACTCATGCACACAAACATGTCTTCCTGGGGTCCATCCCCTTCTTAGAGCTCCCCACTCTGCAGCACCACACCCCAACTGCAGCCCCTGTCCTTCCCATGCACCAAGGGCCCAGGTGAAGACTGCCTCTTTGGGCCTTCATTGCTAGTGCTGCTGCCTGTTGGAGAATCTAAGAAAACTTTTCTGTGGTTGTTTTTCTTTTGACCTTTTCATCCCCAGTGAAGGCAGGCAGGTTGCATCCCTTTATCTGTCTTCGCCCCTCCCTCCTATGCCCTTTTGTTTGGTGCGGAGAGACACTTGCTATTTCTAGTAATAAGGATGGTTTTTACACATTTGTAAATCTTCACTTAGTGAAACGTTCCCTCCGCCTTTGTCTTTGTGTTCCTAATGGTAGCCATAAATTACCGCTTTCTTTTCTCTGCACTGCATCAGGCTTCATTGCTTTTGAAATGATCAAAGTTATTTTCTTTTAAAACCAACTAGAAACTGCCCATTGTGTGGCACAGACCTCTTTAGCTCCAGTCAAAGCATATAAATACGTAAAGCTGCCCATTAAACTCGATGGGAGCCTCCTCCAGCCCCTTGTGCCTGGTAAAGAAATAAGACATGTGCTGTTCTTTCTCTTCACCATTTCCCCAAGTTTATGTTTCAGGAAGAATACAAATTAATTATGATAAGACCCCGTGCTTTTTTGCTTAAGAGGGTCAGTTTTGTCATGTTTCCTGGAAAAGTTCACCACTGGTGCAAATCTCAAAAAATGTTCTGAATCCTTTTTTTTTTTTTTTGCCCTGACTTCCAGACAAATGTGCTTTCAGCTGGTTGACTCCCAGACTCCTGGGTAACCATTCTGACACTTCAGATTAAAGCCAGTAATGGTTTCTGAAACAGTGCTCAGTGTCCCTCATCATCAGGGAAATACAAATCAAAGCCACACTGAGATACCACCTCACGCTGGTCAGAGTGGCTAAAATGAATAAATCAGGAGACTATAGATGCTGGCGAGGATGTGGAGAAACGGGCACCCTCCTACACTGCTGGTGGGAATGTAAACTGGTACAGCCCCTCTGGAACAGTGTGGAGGTTCCTAAGAAAATTAACACTAGAACTTCCCCTATGACCCAGCAATAGCACTGCTAGGAATTTACCCAAGGGATACAGGAGTGCTGGTGCATAGGGGCACATGTACCCCAATGTTCATAGCAGCACTCTCAACAATAGCCAAAACATGGAAAGAGCCTAAGGGTCCATCAACTGACGAATGGATCAAGAAGATGTGGTTTATCTATACCATGGAATACTACATGGCAATGAGAAGGAATGAAATCTGGTCATGTGTAGCAATATGGATGGAACTCGAGGGTGTGATGCTGAGTGAAATAAGTCAGGCAGAGAAGGACAGATACCATATGTTTGCACGTATAGGTGGATTAGGAGGAACTTAACAGAGGACCGTGGGGGAGGAGAAGGGGTAAAATAGTTGGGGAGAGGGAGGGAGGCAAACCATGAGAGATTTTTTTTTTTTTTTTTACAAATAGTTTATTGTCAAGTTGGTTTCCATATAACACCCAGTGCTCATCCCCACAAGTGCCCTCCTCCATGCCTATCTCCCCCCTCCCCCCCCCACACCCATAAGTCCTCAGTTTAAACCATGAGAGATTCTTGAATGCTGAGAACAAACTGAGAGCTGATGGGGGTGGGGGAGAGGGGAAGAGGGGTGATGGGCATGGGGGAGGGCACTTGTGGGGTTGAGCACTGGGTGTTATATGGAAACCAACTTGACAATAAACTATTTAAGAAAAAAAAAGAAAGGGAAAAAAATAAAGTCAGTACAGTTTACAACTGGAAATTTCCATAGGGGAAAGGCTCCAGGGAAAATTTGTGTTCAAATGTCAATGTTTTCAGTGTTCCAATGTCGGGAGGGACTTGGTGGGCCCTGCACTAGCTGCCGTCTGACCTCTATTGTCCAGCTGAGGTCCCCACAGACTTCTCTGGGAGGCCACAGTCACTGTCCCTAGACTGAGGCTGAATCTTCCTCTCCCTCTCCTTGCCCCTGGCCTCAGGCTGAGAGGCCAGTGAATACCTGAAAGGGAAGATAGCCCCAACCAGCCCATCTCACCCATGTGGGCTTCTAGCACATAAAGACTGTGGAGGCAGCAGTCCCTGGTTGCCTCTGCACCATGTATAGCCAGGTTAAACTCTGTATTCACCAGAAACCTTTCAATGCCCATCTTTTTTAATTCCTCAGCAGCTTTTGGAAACTCTTTTTGGAAATGCTTTCTCCCCTGGATTTTCATCACAGCAGACCAAGCTCCTGGTTTTCCTCCTGCCTCTCAGGAAATGCCTTCTCAATCATCTTTTAGGGATCCTCTTTCTATACCCCCTCCCTGATAGTTCACTCATTCCCTTGTTTCCATAACAGAAATCTCCAGCTTGGATCTCTTCCCGTAGTTTCAGATCCATGTATCCAATCGCTTACTGGATACCTCCACCTTGATCTCACACAGGCCCTTCAGATTCAAGATGTTCAAAAAAGAGCTCATCTTCTGCCTCAAACCTGCTCCTTCCCAAGTGCTCCTTCTCTCAGAGAAGGGCACCACCATTCTCCCAACACCAAGACAGAGATCTGGCAGTCATCCTGGACTCCATTTCCTCCCTACTACATCCAAACAACCATGTCAACTCTACCTTCCTATCATCTCTCATCATCTCCCTCCATGCAAGCCTCCAGAACTCAGGGTCTCATCATCCCTCACCTGGTCTGTTTCTCCTAGTCTGTGGTTCCTTTCTAGTCTCCCTGTCTACAATCTTATCCATCTTCCAGAGTAAAATGTAAATTTCATCCCACTGTTTCCAGTCTTCCTCAGACTAAAGTCAAAGCTCCCTCGATGCAACCACTCTGGAGAACTGTTGGACAGTATCTACTAAGATAAAAACATGCCTACACACTTCTAGGTATATGTCCAAGAGAAATGAGTACGTATGTTCACCAAAAGACATGTACAAGAATGTTCATAATAGCTATAGTCATACTAGTACAAAACTGGAAATAACCCAAACGGACATCAACTAGAAAATGCATAAGCAAATTACTGGATATTCATTCAATGGAATACTATGGAGCAATAAAATGAACAAAGTCCCAGACGTTCAACAACACAGAGATATCTCATGATCATCACATTGAGTAAAAGAAGCCAGACACAAAAGGCTAAAATTGTACCAGTCCACTTCTCTGAAGTTTATGGACATAACTAATTAATAACAATTGAAGCCAGAATAGTAGTTCCCTCTGGGGATGGAGATTGACCGGGAAAGGCGTGAAGGAAACTTCTGGAATGCTGGAAATGTTTTAGATTTTGATCTGGGTGGTGATTGTATGGCTGTAAAAATTGAAATGTGGCTTAAGCTTAATGCACTTTATGATCTGTGTTTTACCTAAATAACTAAACTGAAACAAGAACTGCCTAGCAGAAGACTTTTATGATCTGCTCCCATTCTACTTTTCCAGCTTCTTTCCTCTCACTCTCTCACAGGCTATGCTCCAGAGACATCAAA